TGATTATTTGGATGATGACGATGCAGATGAGGACGACGATGAAGATGACGAAGATGCTGACATTGAAGAAGTTGAAGAAGAAGATGAGCCAGAAGATGATGATTACGACGACGATGACGAAGAGTAATAAATGACTTGCAAGCTAACTCGTGACATTTATATATTTTATTCATTATATTCTTTTGGTATTTGTCTACGTAATTTCGTTGCTGAATTTCATGAAAATGAAAAATTTGTTTTTCGAATGCGGAAAAAACACATATTCTTGATTAAAAAATTGACCCTTTTAAAACCCGCAATTTTCCGTATACTTTTAGTATATTCAGAATATGCAATAATAATTTTGATTTTTTCCATGCATATTAAACATTTTCTTCTAAATTTCATCATTACAGGTAAGAGTCAATATATTCATATACTTTGATGAAACGATGGAAAAAATATATGACACAATCTGACATGCTTGTTTCGGTGTTTTTTGTACTTATTATCACTACCTCTCCTATGCACACAACGTAATTGCACCACAACTATATCTTTCCGGTAGAGGAGGAGGTTTCATCATTAAGATCACGTTTATATGTATATAGAATAAGAGAATGAGGCGTATACCGTGGCGTTCTCACGTCATTACTGACGTACATCACCAGTATTTATTTTCGAGTCTTTCGTCTTTCGCAGGTCACAAATCAATAAACGCACATGTATCCAAATATTGATTTTTGGCTATGTTTTGATATTTTTTTATTTATTCAATGATGTCACAATATGCGACTGTACAATATGATTGTTTTTTTTTAGACCTAGAGGACGAATAATAGGTTCCCAATGGCCAGCAAGTGTGTACCTTTGAAAAATAATCTAATTTATTCTAATTTGAACTTTTATCTTAAAAAGATCAACAAAGAAAGCAGCCGTTCGTCCACCGAAGGAGAAAGCGCCTGTGATCAAGAAAACGTTCTTGCATAATCGAAAGACAGACAAACGATACCGTCTCAATGGTGACAAAGACATGAGCCGAAAACCAGCAAAAGCCTGTTTAAATCGAGATTTTTCACAGTATGTTGCCTACACAGCTCCACAATTGCCAAGCAAAGTCGATCTTCGACCTTGGATGACATCAATTGAAGATCAATCTGATACGAACAGTTGGTAAGTAGAACACCGTTACGTTCACACCAATACCAGCGATTTATTTGTAGTACAGCCAATGCCATGGCTGGAATCTACGAATACTTGAATTATCGAACTACTGGTCGCCTTGAAGACGTCAGTCGTCTTTTCATCTATTATAATAGTCGCATTAAGGATAATGAAGGAGATTCCAATATCACCGATGAAGGTACAAGTATTGCTACGACAATTGAAGTTGTTGAAGAGCAAGGTGTCTGTCTTGAATCAATGTGGCCATACAATATCAAAAAAGTTAATACTAAACCACATAGTCAATGTTATGCTGCTGCTGCACCTTATGGCATTTCTGAAGCACTTGAACTGGATATTAATATTGATGAAATGAGATCTTGTCTTGCTCAGGGATTTCCTTTTCTAGTTAGTCTCAACTTGTATAATTCATTTGACAAGGCAGGTACAAATGGAGTTGTGACTGTGCCAAAAAGTAGTGAAGTAGCTCGATCATCACATGGAAGGTAATTTTGTTTGTCTCTAATTTCAATTCTATGTTATGAGGTAAATTTATTCGTTCAGACACGCGCTTGTAGTAGCCGGTTACAGTGATCATTCAAGAGCATTTATCGTACGAAATTCATGGGGAGCTACCTGGGTAAGTTTACAGAGGTATTTTGCCCATGAAATGTGGAACGATTTTCTGTTCGTGTAGGGGGACAGAGGTTACTGCTATATACCATACGATTATGTGGGAAGTGATGATTTGTGTAATGCTGCTTGGACAGTTAAAAAGCTTGGTGTGGCAACAATGGGCAATGAAGGCTGGGACGATGAAGATGATGTTGATTACTTGGAAGATGACGATGAAGAAGAAGAAGAAGAAGATAATGTTGATGATGATGATGACGAAGATGGGGATGACGAAGATGCTGATATTGAAGAAGTTGAAGAAGAAGACGAAGAAGCTGATGATGACGAGGAAGATGAAGATGACGACGAAGAGGATGGCGATGAGGAGGAAGATGGTGAAGATGAGGATAATGATGAAGAGGAATAGAGACGCGCAGCTAAAAGAACTCAATGTTATTTCTAGAAACTTTACTTTTGACTTACAGATTTGATTTATATGGATTTCTGTTGAAGTGTAACTGAAAATAAAGAATAAGCCAAACTTATATCAACAAATTCTGTACGAAATTAAACTATCACGTCTTCATAAGCGACGGCCAAAGGATCAACTAAAAATAATTTAAACCAGTTATACAAATGTAATGCATATACCAGTACAAAGAATATGAGATGGAGGAATACACGAATTTATCAAAAACAAAACAGACAATTCCTTCCGAGAGACTCTTCAAACAACATACAGTCTCTCGATTATTTTCATCAAAAATTGAGCATACCTTTTTCCGAGCATTACAAAATATTTAGAAACGTGATTTACATATGTATATTTTCCCAACATCTCCCCGAAATGTGTGAATGCATGTTTTGTATTAGAAACTCCATTTAATGAAGAAAAACGTTGTCCTCATAAAAAAATAGAATACTTTTGGTTATGTAGCTCTTTCGTGACGAGTTTATTTCTTTTGAAAAAAAGAACGAAAGTTTACCTTCGACAGAAAAGATCCACGTACAATATCTTGCACGCGTGTGTATTCGAAATAATAAATTAGACGAATATAACTACAGAGCACATTACTGCAAGTCATGTTAGATACGTCGATATAGGTACAGTATAATGTGCCCACAAGTGTTTCATATAATCAACAGAGAGTACGTATCGATAAAGAAAGTGGTTCGTGGTATAAATGATGTGACGCCCGTCTCAAAAACGGTAAAAGAGATGTTTGGACGAGACGCACGACTTCGCTGATAATGCTACGATGTAATAGTTTCTAGTGGAGTCTAGTTATTCTGCAGTATTTGTGCTAAAATTGCATAGTTATCGTTCAATGTATGATCTGGATGGTAGTATTTCGCGTCTATCAACTCTTTTCTGTATTTACAGAAGACAATGATGTTCTTTTTTGTTTAGTTGAGTGTCAGCAATCTTTCTAGAAAGATATTCTCTTATCTCTGACGTTAGATTTATCTTTTTTGCTCCCAGATAAGTGAAATTCACTTTGCTTTTTCTTTTCGTCGGTAATTGAAGATGGCTAGAGCAGTCGGTATCGATCTGGGAACAATATCGTCATGTGTCGCAGTATTTAGCCATGAGAACGTAGAGATCATTGCTAATGAACAAGGACGTCGAACAACACCATCTTATGTCGCATTTACTGAAAGTGGACGTTTATTCGGAGATGCCGCTAAAAAACAGATGGGAATGAACTGTGGTAATACAATTTTTGCTGTTAAACGACTCATTGGTCGTCAGTTTGATGATTCCACTGTTCAAACTGATATAAAACATTGGCCATTCAAAGTTATCAACGTTAGTGGTAAACCAGAAATCCAAGTTGAATATAAAAACGAAATAAAGTCATTTGTTCCAGAAGAAATATTAGCGATGGTATTAACGAAAATGATCGAAATAACAGAGATTCATTGTGGTAAAAAGATATCTGAGGCTGTCATTACTGTTCCAGCTGGTTTTAACAGTTGGCAGCGTCAATCCATCAGAGATGCCGCTTGTATTGCTGGTCTTTGTGTACTACATATCATCGATGAATCAACAGCCGCCGCTCTCGCCTATGGAATCAACTTCCACACTACAGGTGAACGAAATGTATTGGTTTTTAATTTGGGCGGTGGTACTTTTAATGTATCGGTTTTAAAGATTGATGAGAGAACTTTTGAGGTTAAATCAGTGGCCGGTAATTGGAAAACAAATATCTTGATGTTTCTTCACCAACCATAAGGACTTTATTTTCAGGTGATGCACACTTAGGAGGTGAAGATTTTCTTAATCGATTAGTATCATATTTTGTTCAAGAATTCAAACACAAATACGACAAAAATCTATCTGATGATAAGCGAGCTCTTGTGCGTCTACGCTCTGCTTGTGAACGCGCTAAAGTAATAACAAAATCATTCTAATCTGATAGTACATTAAGGATCATCAATTAACAATCTTCTAGATCACATTATCATCGTCATTGAACGCATCGGGTGAGATTGATTCATTGCATGATGGGATTGATTTTTATTCAGCAATAACACGTACTCGTTTCGAAAACCTATGTGCTGATCTCTTTCGTTCAACACTTGAACCAGTTGAAAAGGCATTACGTGACGCTAAAATGGATAAAGCAAGTATTCATGACATTGTTCTAGTCGGTGGATCAATACGCATTCCAAAAGTGCAAAACCTTCTTCAGGATTTCTTCAATGGAAAAGAATTAGTTCAATCAATAAACCCCGACGAGGCCGCAGCCTATGGTGCTGCCATTCTGGCGGCTATTTTAACAGGTTATCGATCAGCGAAGATCAAAGACGTGATTTTACTTGATGTAATACCTAATGCCGGCGCCAACGGGGGGCGAGGGNTGAAAATTTTTTGGTACAAACTGATAAATTCTTGTAAAAAATACCAATTTGTGGGGGCTGAGCCCCCACAAAAAAATTTTGGGGGGGCTCAGCCCCCCCAAAGTGAAAATCCTGGCGCCGCCTCTAGTAATACCTTTCTCCTTGGTAAGTCATAAAATGAGTGTTATAGTTTCTTCTCTTCAACATTTTTCAAAGGGCTTTGAAACAGCAGGTGGTGTAATGACAACAATAGTCAAGCGTAACACAACTATTCCTACAAAGCAAACTCAAACATTTACAACTTATGCTGATAATCAATCTGTTTTCAATGCTTGTGTTTACGAAGGAGAACGAACCATGACAAGAGACAACCGCTTACTGGGACAGTTTAGTCTGACTGGTATTCCACCAGCACCCCGCGGTGTGCCACAAATTGAGGTGACGTTTGATATTGATGCCAATGGTGTCTTGAATGTCTCTGCTACTGATAAATCCACTGGACGTGAACATAGAATGACGATTACAAATGATAAGCATCGACTATCAAGCAGTGATATAGAAAGAATGATTACTGACGCTGAAAATTATAGAAGAGAAGATAAACTACAACGAGATCGCACTGAAGCGAAGAATTCACTTGAGTTATTTTGTTACAATATCAATGCAACGCTGCTTGGTGAAAATCTGATAGGTCGAATTGACTTTGTTGAAGATACTTTAACATGGATTGAAATGAATGAGGTAAAAGCCAATCGAATTTTTATTTATCTTCCATCTCTGTTTAGTTTGCTACAAAAGAAGAGTTCGAAGACAAAATGAAACAAATGGAAAAATTGCATGCGGCAATACTATCAAAAGATCAGCAAGACAAATCTTTGACCAGTATACCACGTAAGTAGAGGGCATTGCCCACAACAGACCGATACTCACATTATGCACTAAAATCGTGTCATCTTAACAAGGAGTTATTATTAATGAAAGAAATCGAACGGTACGTATCGTGTGTCTGAGTGATACGTACTCTCAATACGGATTTACACTTCCTGCTGGCGACATCCTATTGCATACAGGCAACTTTTCGATGTCAGGCGAACACAATGAAATCGAACAATTCGTTGCGGTTTTCAAGTCTCTATCACAATTTCGATTGAAAATATTCATTGCGGGCAATCACGATATCACTCTAGACGAAATGTTCTATGAGAACAATTGGAAACGCTGGCATAACAATCACAAACAAAATGCTACACAGGTCAAGCAACTTCTATGTGATCCCTCATTAGCCATCAATTATGGAATTGTTTATTTGGAAGAACATCAGTTCATTGATAATGTTACTGGTCTGAAATTTTATGGCAGGTAAAAATTGCTTATCAACATAGTTGAAAATAGATTTCTTGTTTAGTCCGTATCAAACGGCAGATGGCCATTCAGCTTTTAATTTACCGATCAACAGTATCGAAATTCGAGATGCCTGGTCTCGAATTCCGGATGACGTGAGCGTTCTTCTCACTAACTGCCCGCCGACTAACATTCTTGATAAAAACAACCTAGACATACATGTTGGCTGTGCTCAACTGCTTGCTCGTGTTAATTCAATCAAACCACGTTTACATGTATTTGGCCATGTTCGTGAAGCATGCGGACGTGTAAATCGTGACTTGACGACATTTGTTAATGCATCGATTTGTAATCTGAATTATGAAGCTGTACACGAACCTATTGTCATCGATTTGGAGTTAAAGAACTGATCCTAAAACATATTTCCTATATATATTTTTCAAAAATGACTTTGCTTAGTTTTTGTCAATGATTTTTCATGCATGAAAAATATCAACTACTTGAGATTAGTGTTAACATGATTTTGAATACTCAGAATAGAGGTCAAACGGATAGATATGCTGGAAGAAAAGACCGTGACTAATTCATATTCGTTTGTTTCGTATACCATGCAGAAACCATGTTTCTCGACAGGCACATTCAAGGAATCAGAACTACGAAATACAATCATTTTCACGGTCGGCAGTTCTTTTCCCAACCGCAACGAAAGTAGATTTTCTAGTATCGTAAAAATTTATCGGTACTTATAAAATCATGTATATGTTAGCGTCCAATATAAGATTCAAATAAATCGGGAATCTCACATTCGCCTAGTCGAAATTGGAATCCCACATTGGGCGTATACTAAATCAGGCCGATGTCGGACTGAAGCTTTGAAATAAGTTACGTCTAATCTGAGATTCGCCTAAGCCAATCTTAAATAAGACATTAGATATGATACAATGAATATGGAGTCATGATGCACGAAATTTTATTTCGAAGAACCAACATAGGTTAAATAATAAGCAATATTAATTGAAAACAGATTCAGAAAATTTCAAACTTTACCTTCAAAGTTGATACATTTAGCTTCGTTCCTGTGGCATTCTGTAGAACATGATATAGTCTTCTTTTTACAAGGGTATTGTTTTGTTTCATAACCGCTGTTACATGAGCAAGTATTACCCTGAACATCATCGCGCACATATAATCGCGAGGCCGCTATAAGAGATATTTTTTGAGTTTAATCAACTTTTGCCGAATGTGCTGTTGATAATGATTTATTTGTTGTGTCGGATTCGAGGATGACGGTTCAGCTGGGGTTGTTTGATTAGACATTGATAAATCACTTGAATTTCCTATGCAATTGTTTCCGACAAATGGAGATGAAGTGGTTTGTTGATCAGTATTTGTCAATGAGTAGCTGCCTAATTCGACTTATAATGTAAGTGGCCAATTCCTAGCATACTACAATTCCTATATAGATAGGAATAGGAATAGATTTAGTTTCATTTATACCTACATAGGGTAGTCAATAAGTTCTCGGAATTTTCTATATCTCTCTCGAACAATTGTCATTCCTCCGTTTTTTTGCATTATGTATTCGAGTTAGTTGGTGTGATATTATATAGAAAGTTTCATTATTCTAGCTGATTTTCTTGATATGCTATTGAGATAAATGTTGAGTGAAAAATGGCTCCTTGGTTATTAACAGTTGACAAAAGATACAGCTGGCTATTCGCTAGTCTCTCTTTTACTCGTTTTACGACCTAGTATACTGAATGCTTAGTCTTAGGTGAATATAGTGCATTAGCCGTAATTTCATTTGACTGTGTTCAAAGGATATGGTAACGCTACTTATTATGTTGTTTCAAAACCACTAAGTAGCCTCATGCATAAAAATACGGTTTTATGAAGATAAATTTTATCTCGGTGAACTTTCGTACATTTAACTACTATAAATAGTTTTCTTAGTTGCTTTGCAAATCATGCACACCCAAAACCGGTCTAATGAACATAGACTGTTAAGCATTCTACGGTAGTTCGTACTGTAGTCCGCAAAAACCGTTTGCGAAAGGTTAGTTTCTCTGTTCTCTCGCAATAATAATGATATTGAATTCAATATTGGAAGATTGAAGATCGGTCGAATGTATATGAATTCAATCACACTAAATCTGTTTACTTTGTGATGGATTTATCAAGATTTCATGCCTGAAAAGATTAGTAAAATTTCACCAAGAACCAAGGAGCCATTCTTTTACTCAACATTTATCTAAATAGCATATCAAGAATATCAGCTAGAATGATGAACCTTTCTATATAATATCACACCAACTAACTCGAATATATAATGCAAGAAAACGGAGGAATGACAATTGTTCGAGAGAGATATAGAAAATTCCGATTATTTACTGACTACCCTAATTATGTACCCTCACACCCTCAAGTATTGAACTATTTCTACTGAACTCATCGTAGCGTTCCATACCCACAGAAAATATAATTAGATTTTTGGGTGTCGCTATCGCATCTGACGTGCACATTTAAGAGCGGTGACTTATGAAAGTTCATTGAATATCAAACGAAGGAATATAAGAACAAGAACTGAGATTTCAGACAATTTCTATGGAACATAACGAAAAGTTGTATGAATGACGTCACTAAACTGTCATACAAGTAGTGGCAGCGAAGATAGTGCTGAAGGTGTCTACTAAGTTGATGAAAAGTTCAACTAAACAAACATCGTTTTTGTCCTTTTCTACACAAAGTCACATCACTAACTCAATTTTCGTTTTCATGCATGAATATGAGGAGTTGATGTTCCTCTTCTTTATTGAAAACAATATCATGTAGCATCTTCTGCTTCATTGATCAGAAGTTCAAACTATAGGAAATAGTTGATTATGAGCTATCTGTATGAACCATGACAGAGACGACGATTAGTAGAAAACTAGTAAACAATCAAATGGCGCTAATAATATTGCATCACTATGCTGCGTAGAGACAAAACATCATTCTTATCTTCATTCATCCAACCATGTATCGGTAAATAAATGCACTATTCTTCAATTATCTCTATTACAAACGTGACTCATCGCGTATGTTTTCGTGTTCTGCCTCTTTGCGATATTCGTTCGAATGACGAAAGCTCGAGTAAACGATTGCGATCTTGAAGTGAATTGAAAAAATTATCACATCACCTTTTTTTACACATGAAACTAAACACAAAGCATTAAGTAGTTGAAGATACATGACATCAATCTTGTTGAAAGAGATCATCAGATGTCCTCATGAAGTACTAATTGTGACGATCACACTTACATGCGTTGTACCTATACTATTTGTCCCTATGTCGGTGTACTTTGATACATTTTGGATTATCTTTCTTTCTCTTCGATGGATAAATAAACAAACAAACGTGTATTTTGCAACAGCGTGACGCAATTTTTTAGAAGAAAAGATAAATGGAGGCACACCCTCATCAGCACATACAGCTCTTTCACTAAAAATCTTCATATAGCAAAAAAAACACAAGATTTTCGAAACTTATGTAGTGTATAGGTTTTCCGGACCTTCAGATGGTGATCGTTTTGGTGCAAAATTCGCAGGCTGCTGATTCTTCTCTATGTTAGAATCAAGACACTAAAAAATTAACGTGTATATCGAGAGACTAGCAATATACTGTCATCACTAAACGATTCTCAAATTCAAGTCGCAACAAATTATTGGACTCTACTCAACTTGGACATTACTACTTATCGGGACTTCATGTAAAAACAGTACGACTGCCAATATAAATCATGAGAGAGAATCTATGCTAGCACATTTTAGGACGTCGAGACCTTGGCAAGTGTATTTACACTAAACCAATAGAGAAACCTGTTATTCGTACTTTGCATATTTTCGCTAATATGAATCGAAAACACATCATCAACACCGTTGACTGCTCATCCGTAGTCAGGCAAAAGTAAATGAAAGCGACTCCCGCTAGACAGAGAAAAATCGAGAAAAGGCAACAAAAGTGCGAGCTAAAATACAAACACGAAAAAAAAATAGATACCCACTAGTATATAAGTAGCTGTAGTGTTGGTATTATCATACGCAAACGACGACAGTCTTAACACAACACACAATGGTCATATTGATCTTCCATCAAAATCAGGTGAATATATGCATACTTTTCTTCGGATGTCATCTCCTTCTGTAGGTCCATATTTTCTTAACGCGAGCACGTATGTTTAATCTATCTCAGAGTGTCCTTCAGTATGTTCCTCTAAACAATAAGAGCTAATGGTAAGTTGACGCAATGGTACTCAAAAACTAGACATATGGCCATCGAATTACTAGGCTGCGAAAATTCAGTGTAGATTAGTAGACCATTCAAAAATATTATCTTGATCTTATAAACATTTTCATTTATTTATTCCAGTCATCAAACTTCAGTCAGGTATTTTCTACGTTATAGATTCATGAATGCCTTACGGAATAACAGTAGTAATACGTTAACACTCGACATTTTAACTCCATGAACTGTTTAACAAGTAGCTTTTCATTCTACAGTTTCTCCACAATAATGTAGTATGGATGTTTACCGACCTGTCTGTAAAGTTACAACACCCTTTATGTTCGTATTACTGGCAAAGATGTCGACAGAACCAGACTAATCCTGTTCTGTCCTGCCCTGTCTTGCCTTGTCCTGCCCTGCTCTGTCTCGCCCTGTCCTGTGCTGTCCTGCCCTGCCTCGCCCTGTCCTGCCCTGCCTCGCGCTATCCTGCCCTGCCTCGCCCTGTCCTGCCCTGCCTCGCCCTATCCTGCCCTGCCTCGCCCTGTCCTGCCCTGCCTCGCCCTATCCTGTCCTGCCTCGCCCTGTCCTGTCCTGCCCTGCTCTGCACTGTTCTGCCATATCCTAAATAGTATGCCAACCTTGAATTCACAAAAACATCGACTTTTCGCTTAAAAGACTGACAAAACTACTTAAACCACGTGATCTTACTAAATACGATGTGTCATATGTCAATCCATTGCATATCTATTGAACTTTATCCTGAAAATGATGAAGAATGTTATGGAAGTCCCGAAATGATCTACGACACATACAGTTCCACGTTGATAGAAAGCCAATATTACTCGAACTTCGGTGGATCGAGGTTCACACTTAATGCTGTGCAGGTAATACGGTAGAAATATCGACAAGTAGTGTTTTTGCCGGAATTGAACAGAAAGTAAATGAAGACGCGAGGTATGTGAAGAAAAGAAGTGTTACTCGATACCAGCATCAATCTATTACAGAAGTCGAGTCGATCCCGACCCGTACTTTATTTTCTAGCAGACAGACCTACACAAGTCAAAAAGTGCTAAGGAAAGAAACTTTTTCATTGAGTACACATGAATCGAATTTCGACAGTAAGCCTTGATACTACCAAAAACTGTTACCTTTTCTTTTCAGACAACTACGCGTTTATAAATTGAAAATAGATCGGTTTTATAGATACCAAAAATATGAATAACTGTTTTAAACTTTCGAGCAAACACTTTATCATGTATAAATTTATGTATTTGTATAGGTTCATAAATCGCCTGTTTTCAGACTCAACAGTGAAACGGACACAGTTATTATGATTGTTTTTTAAACGAATACCTTGACGTGTACTGAAACGTTCGGCCATCTTTACATCGACATGTACCACAGTGATCACAGACATATTATCATCCGAAGTATTTGACCTTGTCGCATAGAATATTGATGCAAACCACCCGTCGACGTCAATGCTCTTTCAACGACAAGTGTCCCTCTATTTTGAGCTGAACAGGGAGTTGGATGTCAGTGAAGTCAGAGTCATGTCAGCTTATTTCAACTGCACATTGAGCAAAACAAAAAGAGAATGAGAGGATGTATAACAATTTATGCCACACTTTGTATTTATCGTGTCACTGAAGGGCAAATCATATGAAAACTGATGAAGTACCGAAACGAACATTTTTACGGTTCAGCTCTCTCCCGATCTGTTCAGAGCATGTATCATACTAAAATACCATCAAACTATCCTCGACAAGACTGCACCACATATCCGAAGTCGAACATGCATTACCATCAGCATGGGGATAGCGAATAGCACATCTGCGGAGCTTACCTTGTCATTTCGTTTACTCACGTAAGGTAATAATTACACGAAGATATACAACATCCTTATGTCTCTCTTCTGTGTCGGTTCAGCTTGTGCAGAACTACCAAAGTCGATTGTCTTTCGATGCACAGAGCATAGCGTTATTGGCTTCTTAGGATTACTCAAAATCTACAGATCGGATCAGCAGTTTTCATACAATTGAATCAAGTATTCTGTTCTCACAAAGTTACCCTATGAGCTTCTGACATGGTGAATTTTACCCCAGGTAATCCCTATGCCAATTATCATATTTTTTACTATTAGCTATCATCAAACTATGGACAGTGATTGCTTGGATCCGTAGAAACGGCAACATGATGAGAGCCAAGAGATGCTATCTGGGTGAACTCCACCTACACGGTCTTTTGCTTATCGACATTATTGAAGTTTAGATATTGATGAACGCTATCTAGGGACATCACGCGTCTATCACTTTGTGGATGTGACGCTATCTGAATTCTCCGTCGAAGTTTTCTTTACAGAAAAGATCTATATATTTGTTTATCATTTTAGATAATTCGATTTTAAGCAAAATTCGTTGGGTTTAGCGTTTAAATGAGATTTTTTTCATGGCCAACCGCAGTGGTTCTCATCTGTGGGATAGTATTCATTTGGTTTTTCGCAGGAACAATTGTACTCTCGCTACTTCCTGTATATCTTTCTGATAAATCGAACTTTGATCGTGTGCCTACACGTATGTACCATTGCTTTTTGTGCTGAGTAACGATTGTTTTCTAAATATTTTTCAAGATGTACAATTATTTGAATTGAGATATGCCACCACTCTCACGGATACGAAAGGTTATACAATAGGCGATATTCATGCATTGAATGCTCAGGTAGATTGTTTTTCTTTCATAAACTATGAACTTTCTTCTATGTTTTGATTTCAATTTCAGCTTAACAAAGAATTGCACGTAGGCACCCTCAATGTTTTGGCGGTTAAACTCCCTTCTTTCACAGATGCCAAACGAAAAAGACGAGCGTAAGATGTCTGTAAAAATTGTTCTCCGTCTCAAGTACTTTTCTTATTTGAAGAATATCTGATTGTGCAAGCCAACAGAATTCAACAGGAGACGTTCTCATAATTCAGTTTACATTAAGCAGTGATAGAACGTGTGCTACTGCCAAATGTCGAGCGACTCTTATCGAGAAAGTCAAGACACATATTCAAACAAAATTTCCGTCGTTATCTTTACCAGTAACTCTATCAAATGGTACATCAATTTCGCTTCTACTGTCATTGTGTTCAGTATCAGCTATTAGCACAAATACGAATTCGAGTAAGAAGTCTTGTGAAAAGTATTTCTTGATTCTCGTCACTGTACTAAATTGTATTTTTGTTTAGAACTAACATGTGTCGACGGAATTAAGAATCAAGATGAAAGCGATGCTGACTGTGGTGGGTTAGTGTGCGCAGCTCGGTGCGGTATCAATCAACAGTGTACAAAGAATTCGGATTGTGTGAATAATAATTGTCATCAAACACAGAAGACATGTCAAGGTATTCGAAAGGCTTGCATGAGGAAATTTTTCGATTTGAAAATATCACTTCGAGAGACGAAAGCTCGTTTGCCTTCTGGCTCATGACCGACTGTATTTGAGTATCTAATTTTAGAACCATCATGTTCTGATGGAAATAAAAATCAAGACGAAAGCGGTGTTGATTGCGGTGGTTTGATATGCTCAGCTCGATGTGGTTTGGGACAATATTGCATTCGTAATACCGATTGCAGCATTGGCAACTGTCATCAAACAGATGGAACTTGCCAAGGTATAGTACCTCATGAAGAATATTAATATATTTCCTTAAGAGTAAAATAATTTTTGTAATTTTAGTTCCATCTTGCAATGATGGCAACAAAAATCAAGATGAAACTGGTATCGACTGTGGCGGTTTAACATGCGCAACTCGATGTGGAGCGAATCAAGCTTGTTTATACAATTCTGATTGTTCAAATAAAAATTGCCATAGCTTATTTCAAATATGTCTCGGTGAGCAAATATTCTCTTCATATTCTTGCTAGCAGTGTTAATATTCTATTCTCACTACTTAAACCTGTTATATTGTAGCTGAATCTTGTTGTGACGGAAATCGGAATCAAGATGAAACTGATCTTGATTGTGGCGGTTCAATGTGTCGAGGCCGATGTAGTATCAACCAACAATGTACCAAGAATTCTGATTGCGCTAATAATAATTGTCACCAAACGCAAAAGGCATGCGAAGGTATTTGAAAAGCTTCCACGAAAACGATTCTATTTCAAACAATATCTCGTAAAGAGAAAGAAAACTTCCTCTTCCGATAAAAAGCAGAGTATATCGGAGTTTTCAATTTTAGCACCTTCTTGTACAGATGGAAATCAAAATCAAGACGAAAGTGGTGTTGATTGTGGTGGTCTGACATGTCCTGCTCGGTGTGATTTGGGCCAGCATTGCACTCATAACGCTGATTGTAGTAATGGTAACTGTCATCAAACAAAAAAAACTTGTCAAGGTATATTTATGAGAAAATGTTCAAAAATATTTTTTGCAGGGCTTTCATTAGTTTTAATTAAGAATAACAGAATGTTTATCGTTCTAGTTCCATCTTGCGATGACGGAAACAAAAATCAAGACGAAATGGGTATTGATTGTGGTGGTTCAATATGTACAGCTCGATGTAATTTAAATGAAGTCTGTTCAAACAACTCTGATTGCTCAAGTAGAAATTGCTATACTTTATTTAAAATATGTCTAGGTGAGCAAATATCCTCTTCATATCTGTCTAGGAATCTGAATACTTTATTTCCATTACTTAAATTTGTTATATTGTAGCTCAATCGTGTTGTGACGGAAATCAAAACCAAGATGAAACTGATGTGGACTGTGGTGGTTCGATCTGTGGCGCTCGATGTAGTTTAAATCAAGTTTGTTCCAGAAATTCTGATTGTTTCAATAAGAATTGTCATCAAACAAATAAAACCTGCCTAGGTATTCGAAGAAGTTACATTAAGAAAGCTTAACGTAGAAAGATTCTATAGATAGCGAAAACTGTTTTTTCGTATGATTCATAATAAAATGTTTTCAAATACCAAATTTTAGCACCTTCCTGTTCAGATGGAAATCAAAATCAAGACGAAAGTGGTGTTGATTGTGGTGGTCTGACATGTCCTGCTCGATGTGATTTGGGCCAGCATTGCACTCATAACGCTGATTGTAGTAATGGTAACTGTCATCAAACAAAAAAAACTTGTCAAGGTATATTTATGAGAAAAGTTTGAAAAATACTTTTAACGAATTATAATCGTAGTATCAAGCATTCCATTAAATTCGAGCAAGACTAAGATTTTTGAGATCTCCCCAAAATAGAGAAATTTTTCTGAAAAATCGATTTTACCATAATTGAATGGAAGTCATGATTAAATGCACATACTTTTTAAATTTATAAAGAAAGTATTATGGCCTCCATAAATCGAATTCGTATCGAAATGAGCATTCAACTGATTGTTGCAAATCGAAAACAAAAGGAGTAAAACTGGTGTACAGTACGACTAGATTTAATTTTAGTATGAGACATTATAGCTTTCATATACGTAGATTGTCGGATAGAAATAAGAGTTGTTAGCAATAGCTTCTTTCTGGTCTTACTTAATTATAATTCACAAGCACAGCGCTCACGTAGAGCATAAAAACTACTTCTTTTTTTTCACGGGTCTTCATACAATTTCCGTCTTCCAGTAGTACCCACGGAAAAAAAATCAAGTAAAACCGCTTGAAACCGCGATTTCCTGAACCGCAGTCTCAAACGGTTTTTTCTAATCGCAGGAGTCAGACCGTTAATGCGGTAAAAAAAACCGGTCAAAACCGCCGTAAATGACAACCGCGATTTCGAGCGGTTTTTTTCACCGCATTAACGGTCTGACTCCTGCGGTTAGGAAGAACCGGACAAAACCGAAGTCATCATTTACCGCGGTTTCGGGCGGTCATTTTTCACCGCAATAACGGTCTGACTCCTGCGGTTAGGAAAAACCGAAGTTATCATTTACCCCGGTTTCAGACGGTTGTTTTTCACCGTATTAACGTTCTGACTCCTCCGGTTAGGAAAAACCGACTGGAACCGCTATATTTCGAAAAACCGGTTCGAACCGGTTTTTCTTATTGACTACCTGATCAGCATATCTGACTCAGGTATCTCCAAATTCACCTGAACTTTGATGAAAGTTCAGGCGAGTTGCCCTTCGAGGGGCTGTGTAGTGAACTTATCAAAGTTCCATTGTATATCACTTATTTCATTTATAAGCGACTTAACCAGTAAACTGATTTTCAAAATTTTCATGAAGATACGAGGGCACGACATCCTTGATGTCTTTACGCATACCATTTGTCTTCCAAACACCGCGGTTTTCAGGACGCCAACCGTTTTATTTTAAACCTCGGTCTACAATACACTCACCGCGATGTATCCAACCGCCAGTAACCGTTAGACTGATAAACCGCGGTCTCCAATACACTTACCGCGATGTATATAACCGCCAATAACCGAAGGACTTATATACCGCGGTTTATGACACCGGCAGTAACCACTATATGTTGAACCGCGTTTATCAGTGTATATACCGCGGTTTATGATATCGGTAATAACCACTATATACTGAACTGCGTTTAACAAGCTACATACCGCGATTTATGACACCGGTAGTAACCACTATATGTTGAACCGCATTTATCAATCTATATACCGCGGTTTATGACACCGGCAGTAACCACTATATGTTGAACCGCGTTTATCAATGTATATGCCGCGGTTTATGATACCAGTACTAATCACTTTATGCTGAACCGCGTTTATCAGTGTATATACCGCGGTTTATGATATCGGTAATAACCACTATATACTGAACTGCGTTTAACAAGCTACATACCGCGATTTATGACACCGGTAGTAACCACTATATGNTAGCTTCATCTTGCTGTGATGGAAATAAAAATCAAGATGAAAGTGATGCTGACTGTGGTGGGTTAGTGTGCGCAGCTCGGTGCGGTATCAATCAACAGTGTACAAAGAATTCGGATTGTGTGAATAATAATTGTCATCAAACACAGAAGACATGTCAAGGTATTCGAAAGGCTTGCATGAGGAAATTTTTCGATTTGAAAATATCACTTCGAGAGACGAAAACTTGTTTCCCTTCCGACTCATGACCGGCTGTATTTGGGTATCTAATTTTAGAACCATCGTGTTCTGATGGAAATAGAAATCAAGACGAAACTGATATTGATTGTGGTGGTTCAATATGTAAGATCAAATGTGGTTTGAATTACTATTGTATTAAAAATGCTGACTGTATCAATAACAATTGCCATCAAACAAATAAAACTTGCCAAGGTATATTTAATACAAGGTAGTCATACATATATTTCAGATATCTTTGAGGCAACATAGGAAACTCCATTCGCTTTAATTGAGGATAAAATAGTGTTTATAATTCTAGTGCCATCTTGCGATGACGGAAATAAAAATCAAGATGAAACTGGTGTTGATTGTGGCGGTTCAATCTGTACACAGCGATGTGATTTGAATCAAGTTTGTTCGAATAATTCTGATTGCTCAAATGGAAATTGTTATGTATCGCTGAAAATATGTCAAGGTGAGTATATATTTTCAACGTGACTATTTGAAAATATTGATGCCTTGTAGTACCATCGTGCTGTGATGGAAATAAAAATCAAGATGAAACTGATATCGACTGTGGTGGTTTGACGTGTGGAGCTCGGTGTGGCTTAACTCAAGTTTGTTCAAACAATTCCGATTGTGCTAATGATAATTGTCATCAAACAAATAAAACATGTCAAGGTATTTGGAAGCCTTGCATTGAAATAGAACATCAGTTGGGAATATTCTAATGAAGAGAAGAAAACCTTTTTTTAACAGTACATAAGAGGATATATTTGAATATTTAATTTTAGAGCCATCTTGCCCTGATGGAAACCAAAATCAAGATGAAACTGATTTGGACTGCGGTGGTGCATCATGTAAAATTCGTTGCGCTTTGAATCGAACCTGCGCGAAGAATTTCGATTGTGTTAATAATAATTGCCATCAAACAAATAAAACTTGTCAAGGTATGCTTTGTAGAAAATACTCAGAAGTATATGTGACAAGTATTTGTCATAGTTCGAGATTTTACAGAAATTCGGGTGAGAATGGTATTCTTTAAGGCGCTACATCTACATAGAGAGATTGCTAACAAATGGATTTGGGGATAATTATTTGAAACTGATGATGGAACCACGACCTTGATAAATTCATAAAGATAACATACTGATCAGCCTAAGTGGAGCTCCGATATAATCAAATATTTAGCTCCATACTATAATCACGAAAGCAAATGAGTAACATTAAAACTAAAACTAATATACAGCTGGAGTAGATGAAGCTTTAATACGACACATTTATACTTCGCTTTTCCACTGTCATGTAGAAATAAGAATCGTTAGCGGCAAATTCTTTCGAGTCCTACTTAATTATATGTTATAAATAGAGATGTATTTATATTTGGATATAATTTACAGGTGTGGGAAAACAAAGCTATATTTCGTCCTTCTCCAGTTTTATCCTAAACCATATAACACCTGTTGCAAAAGACTTCGTAGAAATCTACCTTACTTGTTTAGCTCAAACAAAAGATTTCCAGTTTTTGTTTTTCTTACGAAAGAAAAGTACTAGTTCCAATGCACAAAAATTAATAAAAGAACAAATTTCATAAGGTCTTCTGTCAGCGGTTCGTCGAAGTTGTTTCCGTATGTTCGAAAATATACTTTGCAAAACTTTCATATCGACATCTTTTAGTTTCCTGTTATTCTATTTTTAATTGGTCGATGTTTTTTGTTTCTCACCCATAGCTGAAAATCACATGTTCAAGAACAGATCAGAATGTCTCAATAGGTCGAGCTCGAAGGTACCCAGGTCGATCATTCCTGCCACTGGATCCGTTGAAATCTGAGTCGGTTCCGGTACAGCTCTTCTCGATTCCGGCACAGTTTTCGCCGATTCCAGCAAGTTCCGGCAGGTTCCTTGCCGCCGGATTCCGGCCGGAATTGCACAGGAAATATCCGATCAGTTCCTGGCCGTTTCCAGCTCGAAGTTTGCAGGAAACGGTCGGGAAATGACGGGAACCTACGTTTGAACTTCCGGCCGGAATCCNTTCCGGTACAGCTCTTCTCGATTCCGGCACAGTTTTCGCCGATTCCAGCAAGTTCCGGCAGGTTCCTTGCCGCCGGATTCCGGCCGGAATTGCACAGGAAATATCCGATCAGTTCCTGGCCGTTTCCAGCTCGAAGTTTGCAGGAAACGGTCGGGAAATGACGGGAACCTACGTTTGAACTTCCGGCCGGAATCCGGCGACAAGGAAATGGTCGGAAAACGAACCTAACCGGCCGGAACCGACCGTGCCATAATAACCTGGGCTGGTTCTGTGGATTCTTTTCTCTAGATACAAAATGAATACCATCTCGATTTGAATACTCCGCCACTATGAGATCTTGAGGGTGCTGATGCTGTATAAACGACATTAAAATGCGTTTAACATATTCATTCACGTACGCCGTTTGAGCTACACCTTGTGGGTGAAGAATGGTAGCAAGATGCCCCTCTAAAATGATGCAATCCATACCCGAATTTTTTTTAATCCTTTTTCTCTGCTTGAATTTGACTTCTGATCGTGTCGCACTTTAATTCAACACGGAAAAATCATGATTAGCAGAAATTGATTCATTGCACAAAAGAGAATGTTTTTCATCATCGATGACTCAGTCAACAGTACCACTGATCGATGTTTGGTATAATTGACGCGCACGTGTAGGAATTTCTTTAAGTTGCGTGTCGCTGTATTCAAGGGAGCCCATTTATTTTTTCGATACATAATACTCATAAATTTCAAATCTCGACCAACTGCCGCAATATGAACATTAGAATGTAGAGTAAATCGGTGTAAAGAAGTACCACGATTGTGATCAAACCAGTGCCTTAATCCAGATAGTGTCCGCGTTGTTAATTTCTAGCGATCACCAGAATATAATCAGTCGCCAATAATACAGAATTTCTCAAACGTTTCAATCGTATCACATATACTTTGACGTAGTATTCGTTCGTATAACAAGTGATTTCCAGTTTTCACATATTGTTGCCCATTCCGTTTTACAAGATATTTCCATCCTCAACGTGTCATTTTGATTTCGGTCAGAGGTCAAAAGAATTATATCACATCGAATTGTAGCTCTTTTAACCGTCTATCACGTCATATCAAGAAAAAAAAAGACTCTCCACCTTGATACGCGGTCTATGTATACAAAAGCTGTTCAAAATTTTCGCATTAAGGGTTCTTTGAGACCTTCATTTATATTCAGACTCGAACTAAGTAGCTAATTTAATTGTAACAGGCATAGTAATCATATTTATAAATCTAGATCCATCTTGCGATGACGGAAATAAAAATCAAGATGAAACCGGCGTTGATTGTGGTGGTTTCGTTTGTGGAGCTCGATGCGATTTAAATCAAGTGTGTTCAAACAACTCTGACTGTTCGAATGGAAACTGCCACACATCATTGAAACTATGTCATGGTGAGCAAACATTGTCTTATTCCTGTTCAATGGCGAATATTAATATTTTTCTTATACTGATAATATTCGTCTTCTTGTAGCACAATCTTGCAACGATGGAAATAAAAACCAAGATGAAACTGATGTTGATTGCGGTGGTTTTGCTTGCGGAGCTCGATGTAATCTAACTCAAGTTTGCTCAAATAATTCTGATTGTGACAATAATAACTGCCATCAAACAAATAAAACATGTCAAGGTATTTTCAAACTTCGAATAAAGAATTCAATTTTAAAATGCTTCATAAAGAAACAAAATCTTATTTCGATTGGAAGAAGTTTAAAAAAATCCTTTAAATATTTAATTTTAGAGCCTTCCTGTTCCGATGGAAATCGAAATCAAGATGAAACCGATGTGGACTGTGGTGGTACATCATGCAAAATTCACTGCGCTCTTAATAGAACCTGCGGGCAGAATTATGATTGTGCCAACAATAATTGTCATAAAACAAATAAAAGTTGTCAAGGTATATTTTGCAACCAATACTGAAAGGTGTCTAACAATTATTATACATAGTCAAAAGGATTTCATTAGATGCACTTAAAATGAAATCGAATTTCTAATTCTAGTTCCATCTTGCGATGATGGGAATCAAAACCAAGATGAAACTGATGTGGACTGTGGTGGCTCGATCTGTGGCGCTCGATGTAGTTTAAATCAAGTTTGTTCCAGAAATTCTGATTGTTCAAATGGAAATTGTTACGCATCGCTGAAAATATGTCAAGGTGACTAAATATTTTCTTTGTCTTTGATTGAAAAGATTAGCATGTTGTTCGTATTACTCGGAATAATTTTCTTCTAGCACCGTCGTGCTGTGATGGAAACCGCAATCAAGACGAAACTGATATTGACTGCGGTGGATCAGTATGTCCGGCGCGATGCAATTTAACTCAAGTTTGTTCAAGCAATTCTGACTGTCTTTACAACAATTGTCATAAAACAAATAAAACTTGTCAAGGTAAATTTGGAGAGAACACATTCAAATACTTTTAACAAAGTTCTGTAATTCGATAAAAATCAAACGTTTTGAAAGCGCAATGCTTTGATACATAACTGTGACGTAGTTGAAAAAGTAATTTTCATGTTTCTAGTTCCATCCTGCGATGACGGCAATAAAAACCAAGATGAAACTGGACCTGATTGTGGCGGTCACAATTGTACCATGCGCTGTGCTTTGGGTATAACCTGCTCAACAAACTCAGATTGTAATAATGGAAACTGTCATTTTACACTGAAAACATGCGAAAGTAAGCAAAATATTTATTTTACAATAGCAACATGACACATTTATGTTTCAGACCCATCTTGTCCTGATGGCAATCAAAATCAAGGTGAAACAGATGTGGATTGCGGCGGTCCATCATGTACGATTCCTTGCGCGCTTAACAAAACTTGCACACAAAATTCCGATTGTGACAATGGCAATTGTCATCATTCATTACATAAATGTTCAGGTATCTTTCCTCGAACGATGAAACTGACCGTCTACAGGTTGTTCCATAATTATTTGCTTAGTACCTTCATGTGATGATGGAAATGAAAATCAAGATGAAACTGATGCTGATTGTGGTGGAAACACATGTTCCACTCGATGTAATATAAATCAAACTTGCTTACACAGTCCAGATTGTACTACTGCAAATTGTCATCAGACGTTGAAAACTTGTCAAAGTAAGTGAAGAAATATTGTGAAGGGTAATGTTCTGATGTATGATATCTTTCAGAGCCATCATGCGACGATGGAAATCTAAATCAAGCCGAAGTAGATATAGATTGCAGCGGACCGTGTTCAACCAAGTGTGTTCTCAATCAAACTTGCATTGATAATGCTGATTGCGTAAATGGTAATTGTCATCACGTCACGAAAAAATGTTCAGGTACGTTTCGTGTCTTCGAGAATGATCTTATTTATGAAAAACAACTCCTTGTAGATCTATCGTGTGAGGACGGAAACAGAAATCAAGGTGAAGGTGATATTGATTGCGGTGGTCCATGTCCCATCATGTGCAATATAACTCAAACTTGTGCAGTTAACACAGATTGTGCAAACGGAAACTGTCATCATACAAATCTCGCATGCGAATGTAAATAACTTTATTCGATTAATAATCCAGAAATAATTCCAACGACACTTTTAGTACCGTCTTGCGATGATGGGAATCGAAATCTAGATGAGACGGATGTGGATTGTGGTGGTAGTAATTGTACCAAACGGTGTACAACCAATAATACTTGTCATCAAAATTTTGATTGTGACAACGGCAATTGTCATCATTCATCAAAAACATGTCAACGTAATTGGAATATTGAACTAAAGAAAAGCTTTTCTTCTTTCGTTGTTTCAGCGTTTTCCTGTGGCGATGGAAATAAAAATCAAGGTGAAGGTGATATTGATTGTGGTGGTCCATGTCCCACTATGTGCAATATAACTCAAACTTGTGCAGTTAACACAGATTGTGCAAATGGAAACTGTCATCATACAAATCTTACATGTCAAAGTCAGTTATGTTTTCATCATTGAAAAGCTTTCAGCTGTCTATTTCGATGTACATATTAACAGTTCCTACGAGAGAAATATATCTTCATATTTAGATCCATCTTGTAATGATGGAAACGTCAACCAGAACGAAACTGATGTCGATTGTGGTGGTCCAGTATGTGGCAATTCTTGTAATGTTGACCAAGCTTGTACTCAAAATTCCGATTGTGCCAATGGTAACTGTCATCATACAAATCTTACATGTAAAGGTATGTAGAATTCGTTTTTCTTATTTCGTATTCCTCCATATATGTGCCACGTCTCTTTAGCACCCTCGTGCAATGATGGAAATAAAAACCAAGATGAAGGTGATATTGATTGTGGTGGTGTTTGCACGACTAAATGTACAATTGGTCACACTTGTTCGAAGAATACTGATTGTGTCAATGGTAATTGTCATCAAACAAATAAAACGTGCCAAGGTAAATACAAAGTTGTGTTTTCTCCATGGAAGGATCGCTTCGTTTATTGCATTTAGTTCTATCTTGTGATGATGGAAATAAAAATCAAGATGAAACAGGCGTTGACTGTGGTGGAACGACATGTGCTGCTCGATGTGCTCTGGGTGTATCTTGTCTGAATAATTCAGATTGTAACAATACCAATTGTCATCAAGCATCACACCTATGTGACAGTAAGCTAAGCATATTTCTTAACATCTGAGTCATATTTCGTGAGTGCAAACGGTTTTTGTGTACACTTTTCTATCTGTGAAAAAGTAACTCTAAGATTTGCCAATATTATCCGACATTGAACCGAATTAACAGAATTTACTATGAAAACAAGCTAAAAATTATCATATCTTGTATAGCTTTGTCATGCTCCGATGGAAATAAAAATCAGAATGAAACAGACGTCGATTGTGGAGGCTTGTGCAACACAAAATGTGCTGTTGGTAAAAATTGTACACAAAATTCTGACTGTACAAACCAAAACTGTCATCATACCTCACTCACATGTACAGGTGAGCAGTCGATCTTCTTCAATAATATGTTCACTGTTTATCTTGATTGAAACTGTATGAAATTCGTTTCCTATCTTTTCAGTTCCATCTTGTGATGATGGAAATCAAAATCAAAACGAAACGGATGTTGATTGTGGTGGTTTATGTAGCACAAAATGTCTTCTGAATCACACTTGTTTGGTGAATTCCGATTGCGCCAATGGAAATTGTCATCATATCTCAAAGAAATGCTTAGGTAAATAGGAATATATTATATGAGACAGAATTAGGTTTTAGACAAAGATGAATTCAGATTTGAAACGATGAAAGTAAAGAGAGTTCGAATAAGTGTTTGAAATAAGCATCAGTTGTTGACTTTTATTATAAGTTAATTCCGATACAATGCATTTGAAATCTGAGAAAAGACTAAGATTAGATGTAGATCTTTCTGACATCCAGCACTGACATTTTACAGAAAAGATTGGACTAGTAGATACTATTGTTACAAAGACGAACGGCTTTTGCGACTCTATGCCGCATAGAATGGGATCTTCACCAATTTCAAACACTCTGAAAAGAATTTCGACAGCAAGACGTAGAGCATGAATCCAAATCCGGCGTTGCAAGTCAGCTTTCGCGTAACTAATTGACGATTTTGTTTTTCATTGTTTCTCTTATAAGACACTTTTCACGAAATCTCATATTCAGAGATGAAATGTGCACATTAGCTTGTTCATAGAAGCACTTTTCTACTTCATCGTCACAGTCCATCATCGACACTGCTAACAAACTTCAAGACATACAAATCTTTTTCTCACTTCTTCATAATGATAGACATTTCAGAAATGGTAAACTAACGATACAGAATCAACATTCTAGCGTCCTTTTCATAAACTATTCTCACCCTCACTCAATCATATATGTAACTCGAGATAGATCTCAATAGAAAGGTAAATGAAATAAATCATCTTTGGAATCTTACGAAATCAACAAAAACGCTATACCATTAGAGGAAAACCGACCTTAGTTTTTTCTTCTATCTCAACTTTGTGCCTTTTATAATGAACGAATTTGACTAAGTTTTATTTTGCCTGAACCTTTTCCACGCATTTATTGATGATTTCGTTATTGACATTTTATTTTGCATTGAATAAGAATCGATACTCACACAAATCTATGTTTTAGATCCATCTTGCGATGATGGAAATAAAAATCAAAATGAATCGGATATTGATTGTGGCGGCTTATGTTCAAACAAATGTACGCTTCATTCTGGTTGTGCCAATAATGTCGATTGTGCTAACGGAAATTGTCACCATACATCAAATACATGCGAAAGTAAGTATTCTACTCGATAACAAAAATATGAGACGCACAGTAAGAGCGATAGATGAACAGCTGCTAGCTAGTATTGCAAGTTTTGAAACTGAGAAAAATGAATAGTAATTTTACTGACTTCGCAATAGAATACGATGTGAGGAATCTTTCGCGTGATTTGATTCTTATATCATTGACGAGTTTTCCTCGTAGATCCATCATGTACTGATGGAAATCAAAATCAAAATGAAACAGATATAGACTGCGGCGGTCTTTGTCTCACGAAATGTGCACTTAACCAAACTTGCAAGGTGAATGTGGATTGTGCCAACAGCAACTGTCACACGACACAATTGAAGTGTTCAGGTGAGTAGAAACTGCTTGGACTTGTTTTCACCGGCAAAATTACATTTATCGACGACTCGAAATTGTTCTTCGTTCGCATTTGCATTCTAGCTGAGTCTTGTGATGATGGAAATAAAAACCAACAAGAAACAGATATTGATTGTGGTGGAACGCCGTGTACTGTACGATGCGCGATCAATATGAAGTGCTTAATCAATACAGATTGTGGAAATGGAAACTGTCATCGAAGTCAATTGAAATGCTTAGGTAACTATATCTATCTTTCTATATATTAAATCAAAGAGATATTTTCATATAAAAAATGTTCACTTTTAGCTCCATCGTGTGGAGACGGTAATCTAAATCAGAATGAAACCGATATTGATTGTGGTGGTATATGTGGTGCAACATGTAAAGTTAATCAAACATGCTCAACCAATACAGACTGCCTGACTATAAATTGTCATACACCATTGAAGACATGCCAGCGTACGTAGGAATGTTTTCGTGCTATATAGTTATATAGAATCATCTGTTTACATATTTCTAGCGATTTCGTGTTCTGATGGAAATAAAAATCAAAATGAAACCGATATCGACTGTGGTGGTCCTTGTAGCATTAAATGTAATATTAATCAAACTTGTTTAGTCAATAGTGACTGTATTAACACCAATTGTAATCAGTATACTAAAAAATGCGATGGTAAGTCGTTGGAAGTCGAATTTCCATAGGATTTCGTTTTTTGTGAGAAATAATCAACTATAAATCACGGCAAAAATGCGCTGGTCCGGAAAAGAGTCATTGTTGCATATACAGTAGATTATGAATCAATTTTTTTGTTATTTGGAATATTTCAGTTCCGTCGTGTGTGGATGGAAATAAAAATCAAGCAGAGACGGATGTCGATTGTGGCGGCACGTGTAATTCAACATGCGTGATCGGGAAAGCATGTGCAGTTAATACAGATTGTGTCAATGGAAACTGCCATCAGTATAATCATAAATGTCAAAGTAATTCACTCATCTCATCCACACTAGTAACATCTAGACAAGCCTGATGTTACTTTCTTTACTTCTAGATCCCTCTTGCAGCGATGGAAACCTAAATCAAAACGAAACTGACCTAGATTGTGGCGGTGTATGTGCTGGAACATGTACATTCAATAAAGTATGTAAAATCAATGGAGATTGTGCAAATGGCAATTGCCACGTGTATAATCATACGTGTCAACGTAAGCAGAAATATTTCGATGCGTTTTGCCTAGATAAAATGAACATCTCATATCTTCTTTAGCCTATTCTTGTTCTGACGGAAATAAGAACCAAGGAGAAGGTGATGTTGACTGTGGTGGACCTTGTACTACGACCCCGTGCTCTCTAAATCAAGCATGCAACGTGAACTCGGATTGTACGAATGGAAACTGTAATCAGTATAATCATACCTGTCAGAGTAAGTGGAAACATTTTCGATTCATAGAATCATATAAAATGGCAAGTTGATTCCTTTTTTAGTTTATTCATGTGCTGATGGAAATAAGAATCAAGGAGAAGCTGATGTTGATTGCAGTGGTCCATGCACTACGAAATGCGCTGTGAATCAGACGTGTGCGACGAATGCCGATTGTGCCAATAGTAACTGTCATATATCAGCAGGAAAATGTGAAAGTATGTAGATATTTCTGTAGATTTGTTTGTATCAATGTGACGATAGCGTGGGGAAAGAGAAACGGAGTGGAATTAAAAACTGTTTTTAGAGCTATCGTGTTCCGATGGAAACCAGAATCAAAACGAAACGGATATTGATTGTGGCGGCGTATGTGGCTCAACATGCAAACTGAATCAAACATGCTCAGTAAATTCAGATTGTGTAAATGGAAATTGTCATACAACATTGAAGACATGTCAACGTAAGTAGCGACACTTTCATGTGAAGGAATTAGATGAATACTGACTTCACTTTGGATTTCAGCACTTTCGTGCTCGGATGGAAATAAGAACCAAGGAGAAGGTGATATTGACTGTGGTGGTCCTTGTAGCACTTTGTGCAATATAAGTCAAACTTGTTTGACAAACACAGATTGTGCGAATGGAAATTGTCATCAGTCAAATCACACTTGTCAGAGTAGGTTGCATTCTTACTTGCTATCTGTTTTATTCATCACAATCGAATGTTCATCCTAGATCCATCTTGTAATGATGGAAATAAAAATCAAGATGAAACAGATACAGACTGTGGTGGTGTAGCATGTGGTGCATCATGTTCTATTGGGAAAACGTGTAGCGCAAACACAGATTGCAGCAACGGCAATTGTCCTACTAGTGTAAAGAAGTGTCAAGGTATATCCATATTCATGCACATTCGACAATGTGACGTTATCTAAAATTTGATTGAACGTTTGTATTCATATGTTTAGCTTATTCGTGTACCGATGGTAATCAAAATCAAGGAGAAAGTGATATCGATTGTGGAGGTCCATGCTCTACAAAGTGCAGTATAAGTAAAAGTTGTAACATCAGTGCTGATTGTACGAATTCGAATTGTAATGCTGCATCACATAAATGTGAAAGTAAGTGAAGAGTTCCTTCGATTTATTGACCCTTAGCATGGAAAACTCATTGAAACCGTGACTAATTCTATTGTTGCTAGTTCTATCTTGTGTTGACGGTAATAAGAATCAAAACGAAACTGATATCGATTGTGGTGGCATATGTGGCTCGACCTGCGCACTGAACAAGACATGTTCGTCAGGTGCCGACTGTGCAAATTCAAATTGTAATACGGGAACGAAGAAATGCGTCAGTGAGTGACTTTTTACTGAACATTTTGTTTATGTTCGTGTGAAATGACCGTCTATCCGTTATGTTTATATTATAGATCCATCTTGTAACGATGGTAATAAGAATCAAAACGAAACGGATACCGACTGTGGTGGTGTATGTGGAGCAACATGTGGAGTCGCCAAAGTATGCCAGATCAATGGAGATTGTACAAATGGTAATTGTCATACAGGACTGAAGAAGTGTCAAGGTGAGTACATAATTTCCATAAGCGTTGTATTCAATGAACATAAAATCTAATGCGATAAATATTCGATAGCTACAGTATTAGGGAAAGCACTACACGAGACAAATGAGGAGATGCAAGTAGGTAATATACTGCAAATATGAAATTTCGGAGCTGCAAGCTAGTTCCAAAGATTGAATATATAGTAGATAATTTTTATACTTGTCAAAATATTCTATTAATACCACTTTTTACTATCTATTGTTTTCAAAACCTGATATTCTTGCTGACGGCGTATTACAAGATTTGTGTTCTTTTTAGATCCATCGTGTTCCGATGGAAATAAGAATCAAAATGAGACTGATCTGGATTGTGGCGGCCTATGTGGTGCAACATGTAATCTTGATCAAACATGTTCAAAAGGTTTGGATTGCATAATTGGAAATTGTCATGCAACATTGAAGACATGCCAACGTAAGTAGAAAGACTTTTCTGCTACTTTACTAAGTAAAAGGATAACTTCGTTTCTTTTTCAGCTGTTTCATGTTCTGATGGCAATAAGAACCAAGGAGAAAGTGATATTGACTGTGGTGGTCCTTGTAGTACTTTGTGCAATATAAGTCAAACTTGTTTGGCAAACACAGACTGTGTAAATGGAAATTGTCATCAGTCAAATCACACTTGTCAGAGTAGGTTGCATTCTTATTTGCTATCTGTTTTATTCATCACAAGCGAATGTTCATCCTAGATCCATCTTGTAATGATGGAAATAAAAATCAAGGAGAAATTGACGTTGATTGTGGTGGCCCGTGCTCTACTAAATGTGCTATTAATCAAGTGTGTACAGCAAATAGCGATTGTGCCAATAACAATTGCCATATAACGAAACATCAGTGTTTAGGTAATATTCTGGCGGTTTTTTAAAATGAAGTTTTGATTTTACCTCTGTGCCTAACATTGTTATGTAGCTCCTTCTTGCGATGACGGAAACCTAAATCAAAATGAAACTGACTTGGATTGCGGTGGAATTTGTATTGCTACATGTGCGCTGAACCAATCGTGTAAGACCAACGCAGATTGTGCAAACTACAACTGTCCAGCGGCAGTAAAGACATGTCAACGTAAGTCGAAGTATTTTTGTCCGATGGAATCAGATAGAACAATAGCTTAATTTAATTTTCAGCTTATTCTTGTTTTGATGGAAATAAAAATCAAGGAGAAGGTGACGTTGATTGTGGTGGTCCTTGTAATACGGCACTGTGTGCTCTAAATAAAATGTGCAACGCGAACTCAGATTGTGCTAATGGAAACTGCAATCAATATAATCACACATGTCAACGTAAGTTCAAACATTTCCATGCTATGGAGTTAGATCCAGTGTTAGGTTGATTACTGTTTTAGCTCCATCTTGTAACGATGGAAATAAAAATCAAAACGAAGTTGATATCGATTGTAGTGGTTCATGTACTACAAAATGTTCTATCAATCAAGCGTGCGTAGCAAATAGCGATTGTGCCAATAACAATTGCCATACAACGAAACATCAATGTTTAGGTGATGGTTGAAAGATTTTTCTAGAACGATTCTAACTTTTTAACATCGTTATTAGCTCCTTCTTGTGATGATGGGAACCTAAATCAAAATGAAACTGACTTGGATTGCGGTGGAGTATGTGTGGGAACTTGTGCGTTTAATCGAACTTGTAAGATCAACGCAGATTGTGCAAATTATAACTGTCCTACAGCGGTGCAGAGATGCGCACGTAAGCAGAAAGCGTTCGTGTTATTTCAGTAAATGAAGTAATAAATTCATTGTTTTTGTAGTTTATTCTTGTTTTGATGGAAATAAAAATCAAGGAGAAGGTGACGTTGATTGTGGTGGTCCTTGTAATACGACGCTGTGTGCTCTAAATAAAACATGCAACGTGAACTCAGATTGTGCTAATGGAAACTGTAATCAGTATAATCATACATGTCGACGTAAGCCAACTGTTTCCGTATGTTGGAATCAAATAAAATATTCAGTTGATTTCTTTTCTAGCTGTTTCCTGTTCTGATGGAAATAAAAATCAAAATGAAACTGATGTTGATTGCGGTGGTGTATGTGGTGCAAAATGTAAAGTTAATCAAACCTGCTCCGTAAATACAGACTGTACGAATGGAAATTGTCATCATACAAATCTGACATGTCAAAGTAAGTCTACTATTCTGTGTTTCATTGCTTTTTCAATTGAAGATAAATAATTTACTCTGACTTTCATCATTTAGATCCATCTTGCAATGATGGAAATAAAAATCAAGGAGAAATTGACGTTGACTGTAGTGGTCCCTGCACTACAAGGTGTATTGTTGGTCAGAACTGTAACTCTAACGGTGATTGCGCAAATGGAAACTGTAATGCATATTCATATAAGTGTAATGGTAAATAAAGATTTTCTTTGTTTCTGAGCATTGTTTTTGCGTGGAAATTAAGTTTACTACGATGTCTTTACGTAAGCCACAGGAAAGTTCTAACTTGAGAGTTCAGGTATGAAACAGGCGATATTGTGTTACGTAGGAAAATATGGTTAAATGGATCCTTGAACATTTGCATTTACCTTTCAATTTCGATGCTGCTGGATTTTCTTCGAAATATAGTCTATAAGATTTGTTGCTTTTATATGTTTTTAGTCCCAAACTGCAACGATGGAAATAAGAATCAAGACGAAACAGATGCGGATTGTGGTGGCGCTATCTGCTCAAACCGATGCGACAACAATAGAGCTTGTCTAAATAGCACTGATTGTGGTACAGAAATGAGATGCAGTGTGAAGATGAGCGTGTGTCAATGTAAGTTTTTACTGACTCAGAAAGCACGAAGAAAACGTTTCATAGTAGTCATATACCATTTTCTCAGGTTATAAACAAATTGTTCGATTATCCGAAATCAAATAATAGAAATTGACTATCTCCTATTGTTCTCATATAAAACTTTGTTAGAGATGAGGAAAGTCGTCTTTGTATAGAATGAATTTCGATGAAGAATGTGGATCTCGTGAAACTCACANTGAAGACATGTCAACGTAAGTAGCGACACTTTCATGTGAAGGAATTAGATGAATACTGACTTCACTTTGGATTTCAGCACTTTCGTGCTCGGATGGAAATAAGAACCAAGGAGAAGGTGATTTTGACTGTGGTGGTCCTTGTAATACGACACTGTGTCCATTGTACAAAACGTGCAACGTGGACTCAGATTGTGTAAATGGCAATTGTCAACAGTCAAATCATACGTGTATACGTAAGTAGAAATGTTCGTGCTTCATTTAAGCGGAGAAAAACAGCTAATTCCTAGTTGTGGTCATGCTCCTTAGGTAGCCAATTAAGAAATGGAAGCATTTTATAAGAAGCAAAAATATTTCGTTCAGAGTTTTAAAGATTACTGAGCAATGCGGATGGAAAACAACAAAGAAGAAAGATCTTACTCATTGTTAAGCACATAATGTTTATTATCTTTGTCTTCCTCATAAAAAATATCTGTAGAACGATAATATAAACGCAGGATTTTGTGGAGATAGTCGGCAAGATGAAAAATTGATTTAGGTAGTTTCCTTTTAATTCCAACAACTCTGTCTCGCTTATCACTGCTGTTGCTCGAATCGAATAGCGGTGGACTCATCTGATTCCTGAATATAATTTATCGAAGTCTATATATGGATGGGTTTGGCAGTGTGAATTGAGTTGCCCATGATAACCTGCGAGATGATTGTTGGTTTTAGAACGAGCACCGATCGTAGCAAACAAATTTCAGAAGGATACTGGATATCGAGCGTTAGCAATATAAATACGTAGGATATTGTCATTCAGTTTAATGAAATCATTATCAATGTCGGCAATGTTTTCGATCATAATCGACACTGCTATGTTGATCTCATTCGGTGATAATAATGACAGAGAAAGAATATTAGTAATCGGAGGATAAGCTTCTGTTTTTTTAAAGACGTTTCAAACCTCTGTTCTTCACTTATCTCCATGCATCGCGCCCAAAATGGAATGGACTTCCCTTTATTGAAGCTGGAGAAAATATTTCTGAGAATACGTTGAATGTAGACATTTCAATATCAATTAGAATTGAACGAGGTGCCAAGGATGCATCAATTCGTTGAGCATATAAAATCAATTCTTTTAAAAGAGATGAATAAGTAGACTTTTCCTTGTTTGGCGGTACAAAATACACAACAAGTTTCGTGCTTTATTCATTCCACATGTGAATACTATAACTCTGGTAGAAAAAGCTTCGGGGCAGTACGAAAAGTACTATCAGCATCTTCTCGTGCGTTCGGGTCGAGCATTTTGAGATCCGTAGCAAAATCAGACACCCAGTACCGAGGATGATTTATGATTACAAAAGAGAAATTCTCGGTTTGATATCGTTCGACTTAGTTGTGAAGGTACGCAGATTGATAATAAAGATTTCAGTATAAATGGATGGAAAGTCGATCGATAACTGTACAAAACTGTTTTCATATGATTGAACATGGGGACAATCACTGCAATACCATGGTTCCGTCTAAACTTTTTAGCCTCTTAAGTATATAGTAATGATATTGGTGCTGTTGATTGATTCCCTATTTGCTACTTTATTGATGCAAAGCATTCGTAGACTTCAATATAAGCTTTTGCTTAGTGTTGTATATGGTGAGAGCAATTGAGGTTGTTGGCAAAACTTTTATTGATCGAAACTCCAATAGTTGTCAGTGATGCATTGCACTGTTTATGTGTGCAAGTCCAATATTCTGAGCCATTATTCTTAGACCGTTTGCGACCAAATAGGTGTTTCTGACATAAAACTCTTGTGTCGCCTGATTGTGTGGTGACCTGACTGAAATTTTGGCCGTTCGTTGACATGGCTGTAGCGAAATGTATTCATTTCGTTACGGAAAACGGTGCGCTATATATAAGACTGCAGAAACAGGGAAGTATCCATGCGTGACGATCGGAAAGATCGTTATCACAACTAAGAAAGCAGCAGATAACTCAGAGAAATTCTAATCATGTCATACGAGATGAAATAACAAATATATACATATGAGATGTCATCGAGAGGAAAATACCGAGAAAAGAAAAATCAACAGGTAAAAAGGAGGAAATTCTTTTTGATTGAATTATCTGCTCTTAAATTGCGGTCATTTTTATTAACTAAAAGAATTTTTCATTTATCCAACCAGACCCTCAAACCCAGTCACTTTCAATAAACTAATTAAAAAAACTGACCGCAATTGGGAAGTAGCGAAGAAAACTACTATGTTCATATTTGTTTAGCTATTTCATGTTTTGATGGAAATAAAAATCAGAACGAAACTGATATCGATTGTAGTGGTCCATGTGCTACAAAATGCACTATTAATCAAACGTGTGCAGTGAATAGCGATTGTGCCAATAGTAATTGTCATACTACAAAACACCAATGTTTAGGTAATGTTGCTACGGTTTTTTTTTAATAACTTTTTCTCACTTATTCCAACACTGTTATCTAGCGCCTTCTTGCAATGATGGAAATCTAAATCAAAACGAAACTGATTTGGATTGTGGTGGCATATGTATTGGAACATGCGCGATCAATCAAACGTGTAAGATCAATGATGATTGCGCCAACGGCAACTGCCCTACAGCAGTGAACAAGTGTCAGCGTAATTATAAATCTTTTCGGTGCCTTGGACTCGATAGAATAATAAATTCATACCTGTTTTAGTTTATTCTTGTTTTGATGGAAATAAAAATCAAGGAGAAGGCGATGTTGATTGTGGTGGTCCTTGTAATACCACCCTATGTTCTTTCAATAAAACGTGTAATGCAAACAGTGATTGTGCCAATGGAAACTGCAACCGTCAAAAATCACGTTGTCTAGGTATTTATCGAACTGAGAGAAAAAGTTAACTATTTATATTGTATTTTTACGAATCGTTCCTCTTCTATTTAGCTCCATCTTGTAACGATGGAAATAAAAATCAAAATGAAACCGATATTGATTGTGGTGGTGTCTGTGGTGCAAATTGTCAAATTAATCAAAACTGTACGGTGAACACAGATTGTGCGAATAAGAATTGCCACCATACAAATCTCACATGTACAGGTAATTTTATATTTTTGTGTTTTATTCCGTATCAAATTAGAGATAAGAGAATTCATTAAAATTTTTATAATTTACGTTAGTTCAAGTTTGTGATGATGGAAATAAAAACCAGGGTGAAACTGATATTGATTGTGGCGGTTCGATATGTGGTTCGACGTGTATTGTTGGTCAAGCTTGTGTTTACAATTCAGATTGTAAAAATGGCAACTGTCATAATACTTTAAAGAAATGTAGTGGTAAATCAAATTTTTTCGAAAATTTCTGGACACCGTTTATACAAAGATTGAGCTTAGCGATAGTATCTTTGCACGTAGTGAAATCTCTCTATAATGGACAGCATGGGGATTTTTCAAAGTATCCACTGTAGAGAGATGTGCACTTTATAGAGATGAGGTTCTTTCTAACAGAGTGCGTTGGTAACAAAGTAAATGTATTTAATGAGTATGAGAAGATAGTCAACGGATATGCCAAAACACTACCGTTTGTCTTTACTTCTCTTTGTATAAACATTAGCTTGGAAAAACCAATCGATGGTTCAAAAATAGCTTAATTTCACTAATGGACACTATCAAAGTGATGAAAAATCCTCATCAAATAAATTTACACATTCACGACCACTTTGAGAGGCTCTGTTGTAACTGACGAAGAATCTCGTTATATTGAGATCGTGGGCACGCGGTAGATGATAGTGTGACGAAGGGAAATGTAGTTAGATGGGTGTTACAATAATGGTATCTAGCTTTAAACGTTAACATTACTAATTTTCCCAAATACTTGATTTATAAAACTAACTGTTGATGTATATTCTTAGATCCAGTTTGTAACGATGGAAATAAGAATCAAGACGAAACAGATGCGGATTGTGGTGGCACTATCTGCTCAGACCGATGCGGCAACGGAAAAAATTGTACAGTTACCAGTGATTGCGCCACAGACAATCTTTGCAGCGTAAAGAAGAGCATGTGCCAATGTAAGTTTTTACTGACTCAGAAAGCACGAAGAAAACGTTTCATAGTAGTCATATACCATTTTCTCAGGTTATAAACAAATTGTTCGATTATCCGAAATCAAATAATAGAAATTGACTATCTCCTATTGTTCTCATATAAAACTTTGTTAGAGATGAGGAAAGTCGTCTTTGTATAGAATGAATTTCGATGAAGAATGTGGATCTCGTGAAACTCACAAATGAAAAGATTATGATATTCTAAATATGACTAGTTATTTTGATTTTGATACTTTCAGGGATATAAACGTGTATATATTATATTCAATTTTACAAAGTAATTTCGATATCTACGAAAACTTAATTTTTTTATCTCATCAACCCAGTTGTGCTTCTATTCATTTCATGGTGAAAGAGTAAACCTGAACACTTTTTTAAATAATCATATTGTTTTGTATGAAAAATCTTTGTACTATTTGACTTAACTTGTACTCTTTTTTCTTCGAAATTTTAAGAATTATATAAACAAAATAAAAATCTCCAACTTCTCTCTTTCATTCACTTAATACATCGACAATTCACAAAGACTGTCAATTATGGGATTCAGGAGGAGTCCATTAGATTCGATGAATCAAGCGGAATGTAACTTTTATGATCTGCAAAATTACGATCTTCAATATTTAATGAATATTACTCATGGAGGAAAAGTGCAAGTGTACACGAAGAGACTAGATAAGGGCGGATGTGGGCGAAATTGCAGGCAAGCGTGCTGTGATAGGAAACGCTACAAAACGTTCAACTATCGTGCAAACTTTGTGTTCGTTTACCCATATTGGTTTATGAGAACTTGTTAGACTTTCGAAATAACCAGATTTGATACTGTGCACATCAGCAGAGCACTAATCGATTTGTGTCTTAGCATTAGTTGAGAGTTAATTTATAGACCAAAATAAGTCCGAAAGATTTCACTTCCAAATTTATATTGCAATCGTCTTCAAGAGCTGTATCTTCTCAAAATTGTTTTGAACCATTTATCATTGCTTTTATATGGCGTTCCAGAACATGGAGTGATGACTTTGATGACTTATAAACGAAAACTGTATGCGAGGTTGTAGTACAGTCTGATACAAGAATATTCCACATACGTGATGTCCTTGTATTTTCCTTGTTCGTGTCGAACTTTTTTGGTTACACGTACGCTCTTATTACCCAAGGCCAGTAATCAGTATGCCGGATGCTGACGGAAAACCCATTTAATCCGATAGGTTCGTGCAGAACATCTCCAATCTCTTCCATTAACAAGGTTATAAGCGATTCATTTTCAGTTTATTTCACATTAAACATAACGAGTACGCTATTTTACAATATAACAATAAATATAACAACAAAAAAGGACCTATGAAAGACATGTTGAACATTGAATATTTGAATACATATACAAATGTCCTTGCGATAATGTCCTTCAAAAAATGTCCTGGTATTTTCGTCTTCGTGCGAAATGTTCCCGAATTTCGATCTTCGTGCAAAATTTCTTGAAGACAGATGTCCTCGAATTTGATGCCTTCCGCTAAAAAAGTTCTCTTGTAACATGTCCTTTCAGCAATATTGTATATATTTTCGTTTCTAGATCAGACGTACGACTATCAGACAAGAAGAAATACCTTTTTTAAACGATTCTCGAGACTTCTCCTTTCAACCTGAGCCTATGAATGGAAAGATGTCGCTGAAATATAACCGCATTTGATATATATATATCATGACATTGTTCGGAGGACTTCTCTCACATCTGTCTGAAGAAAATCGAATAAGACTGACCTATAGTCAGTTCTGTAAGATCATTCACAGTCGAAGAATACAGTGATTTTGGACGAGTCGTGATTTTCAACAGAAGATTCATCCTTGTCGTCCTCCAGTTCACATATAAACCGGTCATTACGACCACGAAATCGAACAAACGAAAGTCAATGGAAGTATGGTATGCTGCTGCATACAACACTCGACGATGGTTTTTTGCGATATTCGGGAAGCACGACTATTCATTCTCATTTACCCTATCGAATTCAATCGGAAATCCGAAACCTCAGAGAGAAAATGCGTGAAAGGGCTGAAAATGAAATTCTTCCATGACAGGAGATTGCTAAACAAGAAGTGCGAATAGCTTTGCTCACAGGAGAAGCTCTTGCTGTGATGCCTCGCGTGAATGATATTGATATGTTACGTTATTTCACTAGAAACGATTTGTTTTCTTACATTCATGTAGGAATCAGGCCGCCATTTAACTCGTGCTCGGCGCAAAATGATTCATGCTCTACCACAAACAACATCGTTTACTATTCCGGACATGTGTACATTAAACTATCGAAATGTCGAACGATTACTCTTGCATGATAGTGATGATTCCAAACATCGAATTAATCAGCCCGGATATATTCGATTTACAGGCAGGGTGTTAGTTTGATCATCAGATACTCAGCTGAATCTGCTGTTCGACAGCGTCAAGTTACACATGGATGGTACCTTTAGTTCAGCTCCACCAATGTTTCACCAAATTGTCATCATTCAAGCTTTTCTGCACGAAACGTGCAAGTTATCTTCGCGGCAAAACGAGCGGTCGTATTTTTTCTTACGGATTTCTCTTCAAAATAGGCGTACCAGTCGTCTATACACTTCTCTGTGATCAAAAAGCAGTGACGTACGTACATACATTTACTTAATGTTCTATCGGATGAAGCGAAGCGGCCGAATAAAACGTTCAACCTGTCACTGATCATGACCGATTTCGAACCAGGCATTGTGAAAGCAATCTCCATGGAGGTACAGTTTGTCTCGAATACCATTAAAGGTGGATATAGAAAGGCCTATCCTTCTCTTTTCTCTTAGTTCACCGAGAAGACTATCCAGAAAGGGTGCTTCTTCCATCTTTCACAAAATGTGTACAAACACGTTCAGTCCTTAGGTTTATCAGCGCTTTATTTGGACGATCCAATGATCCGCAACACTATTCGTTAAGTGATGCCACTTCCTTTAGTACCCGAACAATATGTTGCATCTTTATTTGCTGAACTTGGTTCCGAACTGCGTGAAGCCAAGCATCCTGCATTACTCGATTTTCTAAAATACTTCACCGGTCAATGAGTAGACAATACATTGACGTGGAACGTGTTCGGGGTCTCGGATAGAACGAATAACTACAGTGAAGATATGCTGATTTTATGAGAGACTTTCAAGTCAAAACAAGTACACTGATGTCCTAGGATACAACAATCGATTCAAGAAGCGCTTGCACAAAAGTCACCCTAACATATGGCTATTCATTGATTCCAATCGGAATGAAGTGTGTACTGCGCACGATATCATTTTCTAGATCAATAGCGGTATGGAGCCTTGCATTAAACGACCGAAGACTCGACTGGCTGAACGACGAATAGAAGAGTTGTACCGACGATTCGAAATGGATCAAATTACATCGCGCGAGTTATTATGTGGTCTTTCTCTTTTTGTGACGTACAAAAAATAACAGAATTTTTATCCATTACAGTAAATTGCATCTGATTTTTATTTTCTCATCGAAAGCTGTTCATACATACCGTAAGGATGTTTTGATCAGGAGGACATTTTTCTTCAAGACATTTTCATCCTGAACATTTTGTCCGAAGAATATTATGTAAAGAACCAANAGTCTTCCTAAAACGTAAGAAGGAACTATCGGTTCGTTCGGTTCTGAGTCTTAATCATTACAGCAACAAACTTTGTATCATCCTATTCCCATCAAAATCAGAGAGGAAACATTTTACTTCAGTTTTGTAATAAATCTGAATATATAACAATTGCTTATTTCGTGTGTCGAATTCAAAACTACAAGGAACCTTAAAGTAATATCTTTTGAATGAAATTAGCGGGAAGCAGAGGCCACACTTTTTCCAGCTAAATTGGCAACATATCGAAATGACGTTTGCATCTACTGATAGAGCATTTCACGGGCTATAAATTGCCCTAGCAATCTTTTCTCCATGCGAAAGAAGGAGCTTTATAGAATGGTAAGTTTGATCTATAGTGCTTTGAAAGTGGACTGATTTACGGCATGGTCAGATTGACTTAGTATAATTTTAATATGATCCTCTAGAAGAATTCTTTCCCTCAGGATTTGTAGCGAATTTCACGGTCTATCTATTGGGAAAAACTCAAGTATACAAGTAGAACTATAAGAAAGATATTCGCAAAATACAGAGAGGGCCATTTATTCTGCCGCACCCGTTAAGTCTGAATGATTTCACTTTCAAATTTATATTGAAATCGTGTACAAGAGCCATATTTTTTCAAAAATTCTTTTGAACGAATTATGATCGCCATTATATGTCGTTCCGGAACAAGGAACGACGACTTTGATGAATTATGAACGAAAGCTGCATGTGACGTTGTAGTATATTCTGACACAGAAATATTCCACATACGTGACGTCTTTGTATTTCCATGTTCGTGTTGGACTTTTTCTTTACACATATGCCCGTATGCCTAAGACCAGTATTCCGTTGTCTGGATCTACCAGTGGAAAAACACGGGAACCGTTAAGATCTAGTAAGGATTTCATAGGTTTGTACGGGACATCTCCAATTTCTTCCATTAGCAAGGTTATAAGCGATTCATTTTCAATTTATTTCACATTAAACATAATTAAACATAACGAGAACGCTATTTTACAATATAATAACAAAAAATGATCTATGAAAGACATGTTGAACATTGAATATTTGGGGAGAATGACATTTCGGGCCACTTTATTTTTCCGAACTTCTAGCGCAAATGTCTCAAGGAAATCCCTGACAACAAAAAATGTAATGATTTCGTCATGGAGTCGGCAAAAGTGAAACTCTAAATAAATCACGAACGTTTTTTTAGTGCATGGAAATGTAAAATGGGCACTCATATTAAGTGACAGCGCACAAGCTCGTCAAGTCCTGCTTTTTGGTAAACTTAACCCTTGATTGACCACTTTGAACAGCATTTCTGCTATTTTTGAAACCATTTCTAAGCAAGAGACTTCCAAAGATCCGGTAAAAATTTCCGGACATGTGGCATTTCCGGCTTCTGCACGAATCCGGCGCCAAATAATTTCAATTTCGACCACCCGGACACATTACCCAATGTTCGGAGGAAACGTAGTTCGCCCGCACTTTTCCTCCATGAGTGTTATTCATTGAATATTGAACATCGTAGTTAAGCAGATCATAAAACTTACATTCTACTTCATTCATCGAATCTAATACACTCCTCTTGGGTTTTGATAATTGACAGTTTTTGTGAATTGCCGATGTATTGAGTGAACGAAAGAGAGCAGTTCGAAATTTTTATTTTGTCTATATAATTCTTAAAATTCGGAAGAAAAAAGAGTCCAAGTTAAATCAAATAGTAAAAAAGTTTTTCATACAACAACATATGATTATTTAAAAAAAGCGTTCAGGTTTACTCTTTCACCATGAAACGAATAGACCCACGACTGGATTAATGAGTGGAAAAAAATAAAGTTTTCGTAGATACCGAAATTAGTTTGTATAATTGAATGAAGTAAACATGTTTATATCCCTGAAAGTATCAAAATCAAAACGATAACATATTTCTTTTCTGAAAGCTATTTTATACGAAATCAAAATAACCAGTCATATTCAGAATATCGCAGTCTTTTCATTTGTGAGTTTCGTGAGATCCACATTTGTTATCGAAAATTATTGTATACAACTACGACTTTCCTTATCTCTGATACAGTTTCATATGAGAACAATACGAAATAGTCAATTTCTATTATTTGATTTCGGATAGTCGAACAATTTGTTTTTAATCTGATAAAATGGTCTATGACTACTGTGAAACGTTTTCTTCGTGCTTTCTGAGTCAGTGAAAACTTACATTGACACATATTCCTCTTCACGCTGCATACATTATCTGTGGCACAATCACTGGTAACTGTACAATTTTTTCCGTTGCCGCATCGACTTGAGCAGGTAGCGCCACCACAATCAGCATCTGTTTCATCTTGATTCTTATTTCCATCGTTACAAACTGGATCTAAGAATATACATTAACAGTCAGTTTTATAAAATCAAATATTTGGGAAAGTTAGTAAAGTCACTCTTTTGAGCTTGATTCCATTATTTCAACAGGCATCTAACTACATTTCCCTTCGTCTCACTATCTCAAGATAACGAGATTCTTCGTCAATTAGAATAGAGCCTCTTATAGTAGTCATGATTTTGTGAATTTATGTGATGAGAATTTTTCATCAGTTTGATAGTGTCCATTAGTGAGATTCAGCTATTTTTTAACCATTGATTTGTCTTTCAAAGCTAATGTCAATACAAAGAGGTGTAAAGATACACGGTAGTGTTGTGGCGTATCCGTTGACTATCTTCTGATGCTCATTCAATACATTTACTTTTTTACCAAAGCACTCTGTTAGAGACAACCTCATCTCTATAAAGTGCACATCTCACTACAGTGGATACTTTGAAAAATCCCGATGCTGTGCATTATTGAGAGGTTTCACTACGTGCAGAAATTCTTTCGCTAAGCTCAATCTTCGTATAAGTGGTGTCCAGAAATTTTAAAAAAATTGATTTACCACTACATTTCTTTAAAGTATTATTACAGTTTCCATTTTTACAATCTGAATTGTAAACACAAGCTTGACCAACAATACACGTCGAACCACATGTCGAACCGCCACAATCAATATCAGTTTCGTCCTGGTTTTTGTTTCCATCATCACAAACTTGAACTAACGTAAATGATAAAAATTTAAATTAATTCTCTTATCTCTAATTTGATACGGAATAAAGCACAAAAATATAAAATTACCTGTACATGTGAGATTTGTATGATGACAATTCTTATTGGCACAATCGATGTTCACCGTACAATTTTGATCAATTTGACAATTTGCACCACAGACACCACCACAATCAATATCGGTTTCATTTTGATTTTTATTTCCATCGTTACAAGATGGAACTAAACAGAAGAGAAACGATTCGTAAAAAATTCAATATAAATAGTTAACTTTTTCTCTCAGTTCGATAAATACCTAAACAACGTGATTTTTTACGGTTGCAGTTTCCATTAGCGCAATCACTGTTTACGTTACACGTGTTATTGTAAGAACATAGGGTGGTATTACAAGGACCACCACAATCAACATCGCCTTCGTCTTGATTTTTATTTCCATCGAAACAAGAATAAGCTGAAATAGGTATGAGTTTACTATTCTATCGAATCCAATGCACTGAAAAGATTTATAATTACGCTGACACTTCTTAACTGCTGTAGGACAGTTGCCATTGGCACAATCACCATTGATCTTACACGTTTGATTGACCGCGCATGTTCCAATACATACACCACCACAATCCACATCAGTTTCGTTTTGATTTAAGTTTCCATCATCGCAAGAAGGCGCTAGATAACAGCGTTGGAATAAGTGAGAAAAAAGCTATTAAAAAAATCGTAGCAACATTACCTAAACATTGGTGTTTTGTAGTATGACAATTACTATTGGCACAATCGCTATTCACTGCACACGTTTGATTAATAGTACACTTTGTAGCACATGGACCACTACAGTCGATATCAGTTTCGTTTTGATTTTTATTTCCATCAAAACATGAAATAGCTAAACAAATATGAACATAGTAGTTTTCTTCGCTACTTCCCAATTGCGGTCAGTTGTTTTAATTAGTTTATTGAAAGTGACCGCATTCAGGAACAGATAATTCAATCAAAATGAATTTCTTCCTTCTTATCTGTTGAATTTTCTTTTTTCGGTATTTTTCTCTCGATGACATCTCATATGTATATATTTTTTATTTCCTCTCGTATGACATGATTAGAATTTCTTAGTTGTGATAACGATCTTTCCGATCGTCAAGCGTGGATACTTCCCTGTTTCTGCAGTCGTATATATAGCGCATCCTTTGCCGTAACGAAATGAATACATTTCACTACAGCCATGTCAACGAACGGTCAGAATTTCAGTCAGGTCACCACACAATCAAGTGACACAGGAGTTTTATGTCAGAAACACCTATTTGGTCGCAAACGGTCTAAGAAAAATGGCTCAGAATATTGAATTTGCATACATAAACAGTGCAATGCATCACTGACAACTATTGGTGCTTCGATTAATAAAACTTTTGGCAACAATCTCAATGAATCTCTCCATATATAACACTAAGCAAAAGCTTATATTGAAGTCTACGAATGCATTGCATCAATAAAGTAGCAATAGGGAATCAGCCAACAGCACCAATATCATCACTATATAACTAAGAGGCTCAAAAGTTTATACGGAGCCATGGTACTGCAGTGATTGTCCCCATGTTCTATCATATGAAAACAGTTTTGTACAGTTATCGATTGACTTTCCATCCATTTATAATGAAATCTTTATTATCAATCTGCGTACCTTAACAACTAAGTAGAACGATATCAAAACGAGAATTTCTCTTTTGCAAGCATAAATCATCCTCAGTATTTGGTTTCTGACTTTGCTACGGGTCTCAAAATGCTCGATCCGAACGTACGCGAAAATGCTGATGGTACTTTTCGTACTGCCCCGAAGCTTTTCTACCAGAGTTATAGTATTCACATGTGGAATGAATATAGCACGAAATTTGTTGTGTATGCTGTACTGCCAAACCAGGAAAAGTCCACTTATTCATCTCTTTTGAAAGAATTGGTTTTGACATGTCTACATTTAACGCATTCTCAGAAATATTTTCTCCATCGTCAATAAAGGGGTATCAACTCCATTTTGGGTGAAATGCCTGGAGACAACTCAAGAAAAGAGGTTTAAAACGTCTTAAAAAACAGAAGCCTGTCCTCAGACTTTCTCTATCATTATTGCCACCGAATGAGATCAACATAGCAGTGTCGATTATTATCGGAAACATTAGCAACATTGATAATGATTTCATTAAAGTGAATGACAATATCCGACGCATTTATATTGCTAACCATCGGTATCCAGTATCCTTCTTGTTACGGCGTGATGGCACCAGCATACATCCACATCCACTCATCTTTTCTTTTGCTTATACGTTCCTCTACTATTCCCACTCAAATTCGCTTATACATTCTCGCGTTATCTTTTCATATATATTCGCATGTATCGTTTTTTCTATTCGATGAGAAGATTTGTATTGTTTCGTGAAACGCGAATTAACAGTATAGATGTATATTCAAACTCGATCAAAGGATATACAACCCTAGCGCTCCTGAAATTTGTTTGCTACGATCGGTGCTCGTTCTAGAACCAACAATAATCTCGAAGGTTATCATGGACAACTCAATTCACACTGCCAAACCCATCCATATTTATAGACTTCGATAAATTATATTCAGGAATCAGATGAGTCCACCGCTATTCGATTCGGACAACAACAGTGATAAGCGAGAGAAAGTTGGTGCAATTAAAAGGAAACTACCTAACTGAATTTTCACACCTTGTCGACTATCTCCACAAAATCCAGCATTTATCTTATGGTTCTATAGATATTTTTGATTAGGAGGTCAACGATAATAAACGTTATGTGCTTAACAATGAGTAAGATCCTTCTTTGTTGTTTTCCATCCGCATTGGTCAGTAATCCTTAAAACTCTCCACGAAATATTTTTGCTTCTTATAAAATGCTGCCATTTCTTACTTACCTACACTAGGAACGTGACCACAACTAGGAATTAGCTGTTTTTCTCCGCTTAAATGAAGCACGATCATTTCTACTTACGTATACATGTATGATTTGACTGTTGACAATTGCCATTTACACAATCTGAGTTCATGTTGCACGTTTTGTACAATGGACACAGCGTCGTATTACAAGGGCCACCACAGTCAATGTCACCTTCTCCTTGGTTTTTATTTCCATCAGAGCACGAAAGTGCTGAAATCCAAAGTGAAGCCAGTATTCTATCTAATTGTGTGACATGAGGATCTCTACTTACGTTGACATGTCTTCAATGTTGTATGACAATTTCCATTTACACAATCTGTATTTCTTGAGCATGTTTGATTCACTTTGCACGTTGAGCCACATACGCCGCCACAATCAATATCCGTTTCGTTTTGATTCTGGTTTCCATCGGAACACGATAGCTCTAAAAGCAATTATCAATGACACTCTGTTTCTCGTTCCTCAAGTTACCATCACATTGATTCAAATAGTCTATAGAAATATCTACATACTTTCGCATTTGCCTGCTGATACATGACAGTTGCTGTTGACACAATCTGCATTCGTCACACACGTTTGATTCACAGCGCATTTCGTAGTACATGGACCGCCACAATCAACATCACTCTCCCCTTGATTTTTATTTCCATCCGTACATGAATAAGCTGAAACACGGCATATTTCTTACTTCTTTTCATCTCAAGATCCGGTCAAGTATTTCTACTTACGTTGGCATGTGTGATTTGACTGGTAGCAATTTCCATTCGTACAATCTGTGTTCAGCTTACATACTTGATTGATAGTACACTTTGTCGTGCATACACCACCACAGTCAACATCAGTTTCGTTTTGATTTTTATTTCCATCAGAGCACGAAAGTGCTGAAATCCAAAGTGAAGCCAGTATTCTATCTAATTGTGTGACATGAGGACATCTACTTACGTTGGCATGTCTTCAATGCTGTATGACAATTTCCATTTGCACAGTCTGTATTTCTTGAGCATGTTTGATTCACTTTGCACGTTGAGCCACATACACCACCACAATCAATATCCGTTTCGTTTTGATTCTGGTTTCCATCGGAACACGATAGCTCTAGAAAACAATTATCAATGACACTCTGTTTCTCGTTCCTCAAGTTACCATCACATTGATTCAAATAGTCTATAGAAATATCTACATACTTTCGCATTTGCCTGCTGATACATGACAGTTGCTGTTGACACAATCTGCATTCGTCACACACGTTTGATTCACAGCGCATTTCGTAGTACATGGACCACTACAATCAACATCCGCTTCTCCTTGATTCTTATTTCCATCAGCGCATGATATCGCTAACATAGGAATTAACTCGTGGTTTTATTTGATTCTAGTTATAAGTCAAAAATATTTCCACTTACGTTGACAGGTGTGATTGTACTGATTACAGTTTCCATTCGTACAATCCGAGTTCACGTTGCATGTTTGATTTAGAGAGCACAGGGCCGCAGTACAGGGACCGCCACAATCGACATCACCTTCTCCTTGGTTCTTATTTCCGTCAGAACAAGAATAGGCTAAAGAACATATGACATTATCCTTTTATGTAGTCTGATACCTTGAAAATATTGCGACTTACGTTGGCATGAATGATTTGTTTGATAACAATTGGCATTCGTACAATCCGAGTTTACCTTGCATAACTTGTTAATAGCACATTTTGTGGTACATACACCACCACAATCAATATCAGATTCGTTTTGATTTTGATTTCCATCAAAACAGGAGTACGCTAAAGGAGAATAAGTCGATGGTGATTCATACTTTGATGCTAACAGAGTATTTATATTCACGTTGACAGGTATGATTCGTTTGATAGCAATTTCCATTGGTACAATCGGTGTTCACACTGCACATTTGGTTCACAGCGCATTTACTAGAACAAGGGCCGCTGCAGTCGACATCAATTTCTCCTTGGTTTTTGTTCCCATCAAAGCATGAAATGGCTAAAAAGAAATGAACATAGTACTATGGTGTGATTAAATGAAATGTAAATATTTCTGTTTACGTAAACATGTATGATTCGCTTGTTGGCAATTTCCAGTTACACAGTCGGCATTCACGTTGCATGTTTGGTACAAAGCACATAGAGTCGTATTACATGGACCACCGCAATCAATATCACCTTCGCCTTGGTTTTTATTTCCATCCGAACATGAATATGCTGAAATGTGACACATTTCTTATTGCTTTCCATTCGAAGATCCTCTGTAGTGTTTATGCTTACGTTGGCATGTGTGATTTGTTTGATAACAGTTTCCATTCGTACAATCAGAGTTCACCTTGCATAATTGATTGAGAGCACACTTTGTGGTACACACACCACCACAGTCTATATCAGATTCGTTTTGGTTTTGATTCCCGTCAGAACAAGATGGGCCTACAAAAGAAGAAGTTTGCTCGAGTTCAATCATGTAAGAAATTATTAGTGGATGCGTTAGCATCATGAGAAGTCTAAACTATTTTGTTCATAACGAGCGGCGAAAGTCATTTCTCTCATATACAGCCTTCTCTGAAGGGATCATGCTCATAAATGCATGCGATCAAATTAAATACTTGTTGAAAGAAGCAGCTCAGAAAACATCTTTACGTACTTTGACACTTCTTCAGTCCTGTATGACAATTACCATTTGCACAATCTCCATTGATCTGGCATACTTTGGCGACTCCACATGTTGCTCCACATACACCACCACAGTCGGTATCGGTTTCGTTTTGATTTTTATTACCGTCGTTACAAGATGGATCTAGAATATAAACATAACGTATAAACGGCCATTTCACACGAACATAAACGAAAAGTTCAGTAAAAAGTCACTCACTAACGCATTTCTTCGTTCCCGTATTACAATTTGAATTGGCACAATCAGCACTTGATGAACATGTCTTATTCAGTGTGCAGGTCGACCCACATATGCCACCACAATCGATATCTGTTTCGTTTTGATTCTTGTTACCATCAACACAAGACAGAACTAGCAGAAGTAGAATTAGTCACCGTTTCAATGAATATTTCCTACAGAGGGTCAATCAATAGAAGGAACTCTTGACTTACTTTCACATTTATGTGATGCAGCATTACAATTCGAATTCGTACAATCAGCACTGATGTTACAGCTTCTACTTATACTGCACTTTGTAGAGCATGGACCTCCACAATCGACATCACTTTCTCCTTGATTTTGATTACCATCGGTACACGAATAAGCTAAACATATGAATACAAACGTTGAATCGAATTTTAGATAACGTCGCATTGTGCGAATGTGCATGAATATTGAGATACCTTGACACTTCTTTACACTAGTAGGGCAATTGCCGTTGCTGCAATCTGTGTTTGCGCTACACGTTTTCCCAATAGGACATGATGCACCACATGCTACACCACCACAGTCTGTATCTGTTTCATCTTGATTTTTATTTCCATCATTACAAGATGGATCTAGGAGGGACATTCGCTTGTGATGAATAAAACAGATAGCTAGTAAGAATGCGACCTACTCTGACATGTATGATTTGATTGATGACAATTTCCATTTGCACAGTCTGTGTTTGCCGAACACGTTTGACTTATATTGCACAAAGTGGTACAAGGACCGCCACAGTCAATGTCACCTTCTCCTTGGTTTTTATTTCCATCAGAGCACGAAAGTGCTGAAATCCAAAGTGAAGCCAGTATTCTATCTAATTGTGTGACATGAGGATCTCTACTTACGTTGACATGTCTTCAATGCTGTATGGCAATTTCCATTTGCACAGTCTGTATTTCTTGAGCATGTTTGATTCACTTTGCACGTTGAGCCACATACACCACCACAATNATTTCTATTATTTGATTTCGGATAGTCGAACAATTTGTTTTTAATCTGATAAAATGGTCTATGACTACTGTGAAACGTTTTCTTCGTGCTTTCTGAGTCAGTGAAAACTTACATTGACACACACTTCTCTTCGCGCTGCATCTCATATCTGTACCACAATCAGTGCTATTTAGACAAGCTCTATTATTGTCGCATCGACCTGAGCAGGTAGCGCCACCACAATCAGCATCTGTTTCATCTTGATTCTTATTTCCATCGTTGCAGTTTGGGACTAAAAACATATAAAATCAACAAATCTGATAAACTATATATTTCGAATAAAATCCATCAGTATCGAAATTGAAAGGTAAATGCAAATGTTCAAACATGCATCTAACCATATTGTCCTACGTAACACAATACCGCCTGTCTCATACCTGAACGCTCAAGTTAGACCTTTCCTGTGGCTTACGTGAAGGCATCGTAGTGAACTCAATTTCCATGCTAAAACAATGCTCAGAAACAAAGAAAATCTTTATTTACCATCACACTTGTATGAATATGCATTACAGTTTCCATTTGCACAATCACCGTTAGAGTTACAGTTCTGACCAACGATACATCTTGTGCTACACGGACCACTACAGTCAACATCAATTTCTCCTTGATTTTTATTTCCATCATTGCAAGATGGATCTAAATGATGACAGTCAGGGTAAATTATTCATCTCCATTTGAATAAGCAACGAAACACAGAATAGTAGACTTACTTTGACATGTCAGATTTGTATGATGACAATTTCCATTCGCACAGTCTGTATTTACTGAGCAGGTTTGATTAACTTTACATTTTGCACCACAGACACCACCACAATCAACATCAGTTTCATTTTGATTTTTATTTCCATCAGAACAGGAAACAGCTAGAAAAGAAATCAACTGAATATCTTATTCGATTCCAACATACGGAAACATCTGGCTTACGTCGACATGTATGATTATATTGATTACAGTTTCCATTTGCACAATCAGAGTTCACGTTGCATGTTTTGTTTAGAGCACACAGCGTCGTATTACAAGGACCACCACAATCAACATCACCTTCGCCTTGATTTTTATTTCCATCGAAACAAGAATAAACTACAAAAACAATGAATTTATTACTTCATGTAATGGAATAACACGAACGCTTTCTGCTTACGTGCACATCTCAGCAGCGCTGTGGGACAGTTATAATTTGTACAATCTGCATTGATCTTACAAGTTCGATTGAACGCACAAGTTCCCACGCATACTCCACCGCAATCCAAATCAGTTTCATTTTGATTTAGGTTTCCATCATCACAAGAAGGAGCTAAATAACAATGTTAAAATAAGTCAGAATCATCCTAGAAAAATCTTTTAAACGTCACCTAAACATTGATGTTTCGTTGTATGGCAATTGCTATTGGCACAATCGCTGTTTGCTACGCAGCCTTGATTGATAGAGCATTTTTTTGTACATGGACCGCTACAATCAATATCAACTTCGTTTTGATTTTTATTTCCATCGTTACAAGATGCAGCTAAAACAGAAGCCAACTTAAGACTGTATCTAACTCCATAGCATGGATATATTTCAACTTACGTTGACATGTGTGATTTGTCTGATGACAGTTTCCATTCAAACAATCTGAGTTCACGTTGCATGCTTTGTATAGGGAACACAATGTCGCACTACAGGGACCGCCACAATCAACGTCGCCTTCACCTTGGTTTTTATTTCCATCAAAACAAGAATAGGCTGAAGACGAAATGAAACTATTATTCTATCGGATTCCACCAGACAAAAAGATTTCGACTTACGTTGACATGTCTTTACTGCCGCTGGACAGTTGTAATTTGCACAATCTGCGTTGGTCTTACACGATTGGTTCAGCGCACATGTAGCAATACATATTCCACCGCAATCCAAGTCGGTTTCATTTTGATTTAGGTTTCCATCATCGCAAGAAGGAGCTAGATAACAATGTTAGGGACAAAGGTAAAGTCAAAACTTCAGTATAAAAACCCGTCAGAATATTACCTAAACACTGATGTTTCGTCATATGACAATTGTTATTAGCACAGTCGCTATTTGTTATACACACTTGATTAATAGCACATTTAGTAGAGCAGGGGCCACCGCAATCAACGTCAATTTCTCCTTGATTTTTATTTCCATCATTACAAGATGGATCTAGGAGAAACATTCGCTTGTGATGAATAAAACAGATAGCTAGTAAGAATGCGACCTACTCTGACATGTATGATTTGACTGATGGCAATTTCCATTTACGCAGTCTGTGTTTGCCAAACACGTTTGACTTATATTGCACAAAGTGGTACAAGGACCGCCACAGTCAATATCACCTTCTCCTTGGTTTTTATTTCCATCGGAGCACGAAAGTGCTGAAAAAAACCAGGTTGTCCTTTTACTTAGTAAAGCAGCAGAAACATCTCTCTACTTACGTTGGCATATCTTCAATGTTGCATGACAATTTCCAATTATGCAATCCAAACTGCTTAAACATGTTTGATTAAGATTACATGTTGCACCACATATACCGCCACAATCCAGATCAGTCTCGTTTTGATTCTTATTTCCGTCGAAGCACGACGGATCTAAAAACAACAAAAATCTTCTAGTATGCAGTCAACAAGAATATCGGTTTTCGAGAACAATAGATAATAAAAAGTGTTATTAATGGAATATTCTGACAGATATAAAAATTACCCACTATGCATCCAATCTTAGGAACTAATCTACAGCTTCGAAATTTCATAATTTCAGTATATCACCTACTTGCATCTGTTTATTTGTCTCGTATAGTATTTTCTTTTACACTCTAGCTGTCGAATATTCATCGCGTTAAATTTTATGTTCGCTGAATACAAAACTTATGGAAATTATGTACTCACCTTGACATGTCTTCAGTCCAGTATGACAATTACCATTTGCACAATCCCCATTGATCTGGCATACTTTGGCGACTCCACATGTTGCTCCACATACACCACCACAGTCGGTATCGGTTTCGTTTTGATTTTTATTACCGTCGTTACAAGATGGATCTAGAATATAAACATAACGTATAAACGGCCATTTCACACGAACATAAACGAAAAGTTCAGTAAAAAGTCACTCACTAACGCATTTCTTCGTTCCCGTATTACAATTTGAATTGGCNCGCAGTACAGGGACCGCCACAATCGACATCACCTTCTCCTTGGTTCTTATTTCCGTCAGAACAAGAATAGGCTAAAGAACATATGACATTATCCTTTTATCTAGGCCAAACGCATCGAAATATTTCTGCTTACGTTGACACGTATGATTATACTTATTGCAGTTTCCATTTGCACAATCTCCATTGATTTTACATACTTTATTGAGCGTACATGTTCCAACACATACACCGCCACAATCTAGGTCAGTTTCGTTTTGATTTAGGTTCCCGTCGCTGCAAGAGGGATCTAGAAGTTCAGAAAATAACATCAGACTTGTCTAGATCTTACGAATGTGGATGAGATGAGTGAATTACTTTGACATTTATGATTATACTGATGACAGTTTCCATTGACACAATCCGTATTGACTGCACATGCTTTGCCGATCACACATGTTGAATTACACGTTCCACCACAATCGACATCCGTCTCTGCTTGATTTATATTTCCATCCACACACGACGGATCTGAAGTATTTGAAATAATTAACAGACTAAGAAAAGCATCATACAAACGTGATTTCTAAGGACTTACCTTCACATACTTTCGTGTACTGATTACAGTTCGTGTTAATACAGTCACCATTGACTAAACAAGTTTGATTAATGTTACATTTGAGAGTACACGGTGTGCCGCAATCGACATCGCCTTCAGCTTGGTTTTTATTTCCATCAAAACATGATACCGCTAAAATCGAAGCGAAATTATTATTTAATCGGATGAAATACCAAACATATTTCTACTTACGCTGACAAGTATGATTATACCGATGACAATTCCCAATAGCACAGTCCGTATTGATTGAGCATGTTTGATTAACTTTACATGTTGCGCCACATATACCACCACAATCAATATCGGTTTCATTTTGATTTAGATTACCGTCTCCACAGGATGGAGCTAAAAATGAACATTTTCAATATAAAAATATGTCTTGGATTTAATATTTCGAAAGAGAATTATAGTTACCTAAGCATTTCAATTGACTTCTATGACAATTTGCATTTCCACAATCTGTATTGACTAAGCATTTCATATTGATCGCACATCGTACAGCACACGGTGTTCCACCACAATCAATATCTGTTTCTTGTTGATTTTTATTTCCGTCATCACAAGACTCAGCTAGAATGCAAATGTCAATGGAGAACAGTTTCGAGTCGTCAATAAATGTAACTTTGCCGGTGAAAAGAAGTCCAAGCAGTTTCTACTCACCTGAACATTTCAGTTGTGTCGTGTGACAGTTGCTGTTGGCACAATCCACATTCACCTTGCAAGTTTGGTTAAGCGCACACTTCGTGAGACAAAGACCGCCACAGTCTATATCTGTTTCATTTTGATTTTGATTTCCATCAGTACATGATGGATCTACGCGGAAAAGTCGTGAATGATATACGAATCAAATCACACGAAAGATCCTTCACATCGTATTCTATTGCGAACTCAGTAAAATTAGTATATTCATTTTTCTCAGTTTCAAAACTTGGAATACTAGCTAGCAACTGCTCATCTATCGTTCTTACTGTGTCTCTCATATTTTTGTTATCGACTAGAATACTTACTTTCGCACGTATTTGATGTATGGTGACAGTTTCCGTTAGCACAATCGACATTATTGGCACAGCCAGAATGAAGCGTGCATTTGTTTGAACATAAGCCGCCACAATCAATATCCGTTTCATTTTGATTTTTATTTCCATCATCGCAAGATGGATCTAAAACATAGATTTGTGTGAGTGTCGATTCTTATTCAATGCAAAATAAAATATCAATGATGAAATCATCAGCAAATGCGTCGACAAGGTTCAGGCAAAATTGAACTTAGTCCAGTTCGTTCATTATAAAAGGCGCAACGTTGAGATAGAAGAAAAAACTAAGGTTGGTCTTTCTCTGATAGTGTAGCATGTTTGTTGATTTCGTAAGATTCGAAAGATGATTTATTTCATTTACCTTTCTATTGAGATCTATATCGAGTGCGTGAATCATTAATGTGAGGAAGAAAAGCACGGACTATTCTACCAACTCCGTGTATGTCTAGCGCCCTTTTTTCCACGTAGGAAATTTTTTTCAAACAGGAAATCATCGACAAAGTGGATGTTTGTGAATGACGCGAGAAGAACAATGCTCAACGCTCGTCCCTCCTTCCCTCCACCTTTTCGGTCAGAAGACTGACGTGAGTTACATATTTTTCTGTAAAATGTCAGTTCTGGATGTCAGAAAGATCTGCATCTAATCTTACTCTATTCTCAGATTTCAAATGCATTGTATCGGAATTAACTCGCGAACTCTACGTCGTCCTATAATAAATGTCAACAAGTGATGCTTATTTCAAACACTTATTCGAACTCTCTTTACTTTCATCGTTTCAAATCTTAATTCAACTTTGTCCACAAACCTAATTCTGTCTCATACGAATATATTCCTATTTACCTGAGCATTTCTTTGAGATATGATGACAATTTCCATTAGCGCAATCGGAATTCACCAAACAAGTGTGATTCAGAAGACATTTTGTGCTACATAAACCACCACAATCAACATCCGTTTCGTTTTGATTTTGATTTCCATCATCGCAAGATGGAACTGAAAAGATGGAAAATGAATTTCATACAGTTTTGTTCTATACAAACAGTGAACATGTTATTGAAGAAGATCGACTGCTTACCTGTACATGTGAGCGAGGTATGATGACAGTTTTGGTTTGTACAGTCAGAATTTTGTGTACAATTTTTACCAACAGCACATTTTGTGTTGCACAAGCCACCACAATCGACATCCGTCTCATTCTGATTTTTATTTCCATCGGAGCATGACAAAGCTATACAAGATATGATAATTTTTAGCTTATTTTCATAATAGATTCTGTGGATTCGGTTCAATGTCGGATAATACTGACAAATCTTAGAGTTACTTTTTGACAGATGGAAAAGTATTCACAAAAAACGTTTGCACTCACGAAATATGTCTCAGATGTTAAGAAATATGCTTAGCTTACTGTCACATAGGTGTGATGCTTGATGACAATTGGTATTGTTACAATCTGAATTATTCAGACAAGATACACCAAGAGCACATCGAGCAGCACATGTCTTTCCGCCACAGTCAACGCCTGTTTCATCTTGATTTTTATTTCCATCATCACAAGATAGAAATAAATGCAATAAACGAAGCGATCCTACCATAGAGAAAACACAACTTTGTATTTACCTTGACACGTTTTATTTGTTTGATGACAATTACCATTGACACAATCAGTATTCTTCAAACAAGTGTGACCAATTGTACATTTAGTCGTACAAACACCACCGCAATCAATGTCACCTTCATCTTGGTTTTTATTACCATCATTGCATGAGGGCGCTAAAAAAGACGTGGCACATACGTGGAGGAATACGAAATGAGAAAGACGAATTTTCTATATACCTTTACATGTAAGATTTGTATGATGACAGTTGCCATTGGCACAATCGGAATTTTGAGTACAAGCTTGATCAACATTACAAGAGTTGCCACAAACTGGACCACCACAATCAACATCAGTTTCGTTCTGATTGACGTTCCCATCATTACAAGATGGATCTAAATATGAAGACATTTCTCTCATAGGAACTGTTAATATGTACATCGAAATAGACAGCTGAAAGCTTTTTAATGATGAAAACATAACTGACTTTGACATGTAAGATTTGTATGATGACAGTTTCCATTTGCACAATCTGTGTTAACTGTACACGTTTGAGTTATATTGCACATAGTGGGACACGGACCACCACAATCAATATCACCTTCACCTTGGTTTTTATTTCCATCGTCACAGGAAAACGCTGAAACAAGGAAAGAAGAAAAGCTTTTCTTTAGTTCAATATTCGAATTACGTTGACACGTGTTCGATGAATGATGACAATTGCCATTGTCACAATCAAAATTTTGATGACAAGTGTTATTGGTTGTACACCGTTTGGTGCAATTACTACCACCACAATCCACATCCGTCTCATCTAGATTTCGATTGCCATCACCGCAAGACGGCACTAAAAGTGTCATTTGAACTATTTCTCGATCAGTAATCGAATAAAGTTATTTACATTCGCATGTGAGCTTTGTATGATGACAGTTTCCATTTGCACAATCTGTGTTAACTGCACAAGTTTGAGTTATATTACACGTGGTGGGACATGGACCACCGCAGTCAATATCACCTTCACCTTGATTTTTATTTCCGTCCTCACACGATAGATCTACATGGATTTGTTTTTCATAAATAAGACCGTTCTCAAAGACACAGGACGTACCTGAACATTTTTTCGTGACATGATGACAATTACCATTTACACAATCAGCATTATCAGTGCAAGTTTGATTGAGAACACACTTGGTTGCACATGGTCCACTGCAATCTATATCGACTTCGGCTTGATTTAGATTTCCATCGTCGCATGATGGCTCTGAAAAATACCAGAAATCAGAACATTGCCCTTCACAATATTTCTTCACTTGCTTTGACAAGTTTTCAACGTCTGATGGCAATTGGCAGTAGCACAATCTTGACTCTGTAAACAAGTTTGATTTATACTACATCGAGCGGTACATGTGTTTCCACCACAATCAGCATCAGTTTCATCTTGATTTTTATTTCTATCATCGCACGAAGGTACTAAGCAAATAATTACGGAACAAGCTGTAAACGAACAGTTTCATCGTTCGAGGAAAGATACCTGAACATTTGTGTAATGAATGATGACAATTGCCATTGTCACAATCGGAATTTTGTGTGCAAGTTTTGTTAAGAGCGCAAAGAATCGTACATGATGAACCACCACAATCCACATCTGTTTCACCTTGATTTTGATTGCCGTCAGGACAAGATGGGTCTAAAACATAAATGTGTAATGTTGCTATTGTAAAATAAATAGTTTCTTACTTTCGCATGTTTTCAGTGTAAAATGACAGTTTCCATTATTACAATCTGAGTTCGTTGAGCAAGTTATACCCAAAGCACAGCGCATGGTACAATTGTGGCCGCCACAATCAGGTCCAGTTTCATCTTGGTTTTTATTTCCGTCATCGCAGGATGGAACTAGAAACATGAAAATTGCCTTCTCAACTACGTCAGAGTTATGTATGAAAGTATTGCGCTTTTAAATCTTTTGATTTTCCTCAAATTATAGAACTTTGTTAAAAGTATGTGAGTGTGTTCCCTCAAATTTACCTTCACACGTTTTACTTGTTTTATGACAGTTGTTGTAAAGGCAGTCAGAATTGCTTGAACAAACTTGAGTTAAATTACATCGAGCTGGGCATGCTGAACCACCGCAGTCAACATCAGTTTCGTCTTGATTGCGGTTTCCATCACAGCACGATGGTGCTAGAAGAAAATTGATCCGAGTAATATGAACAAAATGCTAATCTTTTCTATCGAATACAAAGAAAATATTTAGTCACCTTGACATATTTTTAGAGATGCGTAACAATTTCCATTTGAACAATCAGAATTTCTGGAACAAACTTGATTTAAACCACATCGAGCGCTACAGACCGTGCCACCACAGTCCACGTCAGTTTCATCTTCGTTTTGATTCCCGTCATCGCAAGATGGAACTAGAATAAGAAATTCAGTTCCATTTTCAAAGTGCATCTAATGCAATCCTTTTGACTATGCGTAATAATTGTTAGACACCTTTGAGTATTGGCTGCGAAATATACCTTGACAAGTTTGATTTGTTTTATGACAATTATTATTAGCACAATCATAATTCTGTCCGCAGGTTCTATTAAGAGCGCAATGAATTTTGCATGATATACCACCACAGTCCACATCGGTTTCATCTTGATTTTGATTTCCATCGAAACAGGAAGGCTCTAGAAGTAAATATTTAAATGAATCCCTTTACTTCATGCAATCGAAGTAAGGTTTTGTTTATTTATAAAACGTTTCTAAATTGAATTCTTTATTTAAAATTTTAAAGTACCTTGGCATGTTTTATTTGTTTGGTGGCAGTTACCATTGGCGCAATCAGAATTACTCGAGCAAACTTGAGTTAAATTACATCGAGCTCCACAAACGAAACCACCGCAATCAACATCAGTTTCATCTTGGTTTTTATTTCCATCGTTGCACGATTGTTCTACAAGAAGACATATATTATCAGTAAAAGAAAACTATTAATATTCGCCATAAGACGTGAATAAGACAACGTTTGCTCACCTTGACATAGATTTAATGATCTATGGCAGTTTCCATTCGAGCAATCAGAGTTGTTTGAACACACTTGATTCAAATCACATCGAGCTCCACAAATGAAACCACCACAATCAACGCCAGTTTCATCTTGATTTTTATTTCCGTCATCGCAAGATGGATCTAGATTTATAAATATTACTTTACTACGCCTGTTACGATTAAGTTAGCTACTTAATTCCAGTCCAAGTATAAATGAAGATCTCAAAGAACGCGATCGCGGAATCTTCGTACAGTGTCTGTATAGATAGAGCGCGTATCAGGGAGGAGAGCTTTTTATTTTTCTATATATGACGTGATGGACGGTTAAAAGAGCTACAATTTGATATGATATAATTGTTTTGATCTCTGACCGAAATGGAAATGGAACTTTGAGAATGGAAATGTCTTGCAAAACGTAATGGGCAACAGCATGTGAAAACTGGAAATCACTTGTTATACAAACGAATACTACGTCAAAGTATGTGTGATACCATTGAAACGTTTGAGGAATTCTGTATTATGGGTGACTGATTATATACTGGTGATCTCCAGAAATCAATAACGCGAAAACTATCTCGATTAATGCGCTCGTTTGATCACAATCGTGGTATTTCTTTGCGTCGATTTACTCTACATTCTAATGTTCATACTACGACAATTGGTCGAGACTTGAGAGTCATGAGTGTAACGTATTGAAGGAAAAAAATAAGCTCCGTTGAATACAGCAACACGCAACCTAAAGAAATTCCTACTCGTGCGCGTCAATTATATCAAACATTGATAAATGGTGCTATTGAATTATTCATCGATGATGAACAATGTTCCGTATTGCGGAATGAATCAATTTCTGCTAATCGTGACTTTTCTATATCGAATTAAAGTGCGGCACGATCAGAAGTCAAATTCAAGCAGAGAAAAAGGATTCAATAAAAAATTCCGGTATGGATTCGATTATTCTAGAGGAGCATCTTGGTGCCATTCTTCACCCACAAACTGTAGCTCAAACGGCGTACATGAATGAATATGTTAAACGTATTTTAATGTCGTTTATACTGCATCTGCACCTCCAAGGTCTCATAGTGATGCCAAGTCGAGATGGCCTTCATTTTGTACCTAAAGAAAATAATCTACAGAACTGTCCTCAAGCTCGACCTATTGAGACATTCTGATCTGTTCTTGAACATGTGATCTTCAGATATGGCTGAGAAGCAAGAAACATCGACCAATTAAAAATAGAATAACAGCAAACTAAAAGATGTCGATATGAAAGTTTTGCAAAGTATGTTTTCGAACCTACGGAAACAACTTCGACGAACCGCCGACAGAAGACCTTCTGAAGCTGGTGCTTTTTTAATTATTGTGCATTGGAAGTAGTGCTTTTCTTTTATAGGAAAAACAAAAACTGGAAATCTTTTGTTTGAGATAATTATATAGTTTAGGATAAGAGTGAGGAAGGAGAAGATATAGTTTTAGCTACCCACACCTTTAAATTATAAAATACTAGAGGGAGTACCCGCTGCAAATAAGAAATATATATGTCGAACATCTTACGTGTTGAAGAACTATAACAAGTAGAAAATCAGCATAATTTAAATTTCTACGCTTCCAGTCATTATTTTCCTGCCGTGGATCGCATGAAATGGCAGTTTTGGCTATATCTTTTTATGCAAAAGAGTTACCGAAGCTAATTTCTGGCTCAAAAATTATGAAAATTTCCTCTTTCTCTGATATCCATTTTCCAGTCCAGCTATTCATTCATCAACCTCTTTCTCACTATCACGTCATTTCATACCATCTGTAGCATTCACCGAACTATCATAGGCGTAGAGTACACGTGAATTGTTGTCTTTGAGCGTTCAGACGGCCTTCGCTATTGATTTCGTCCACTTTTGAAATCCTGCAATCCTATTGGTCAGTTTCATAGATTGCCTATAGCAGACGCCTGGGTCATCTTTTTCTCGGAACAAAGTAGATGCCGACCTTCCTCTGGGTCTCAGGAAGTATTGTGGGAGGTTTCACGCCGATAGCTACTACAGGGACTGAATGCATAGGGAACAAACAGAGAGACAGACAGACAAACTTTCTTCTTTATATATATAGAAGAAGAAGATAAATACATCTCTACTTATTACATATAACTATCTGAGACTCAAAATAATCTACTGCTAACGATTTTAATTTCTACATGACATTGGCAAAGTGAAGTATTAATGCGTCGTATTAAAACTTCATCTACTCCAGCTGCATACTAGCTTTAGTTTTAATGTTAATCATTTACTTTCCGAGCAGTCATCCTATTCCGCAATGTTGAACATTTGGGAACCAGTTCCACGTACGGAATCGATTCCTACGATTTCGAAATTCCGTAAACGGAATTCGGTCCTGTATAACGGAGATTATATGTGAGGGTGAAGGGAGTGGGTGTAATTCCGGAATCGTAGGAACTGATTTCCAAATCTGCGACATTGCGGAATAGGATGTGTTCTCTACTTTCGTGATTCTAGTATGGAGCTAAATATTTGATTATACTGGAGCTCCACTTGGGCTGCTCAGTATGCTATCTTTATGGATTCATCAAAGTCGTGGTTCCACCATCATTCTCAAATAATTATCCCAAAATCCATTTATTATCAATCTCTCTATGTAGATGTATCGCCTTAAAGAATATCATTCTCACCCGAATTTCTGTAAAATCTCCAACTACGACAAATAATGTTACATATATTTCTGACTATTTTCTAGTAAGCATACCTTGACAAGTTTTATTTCTTTGATGGCAATTATTATTAGCGCAATCAAAATTCTCCGCGCAGGTTTGATTCAGAGCGCAATGAATTTTACATGATGCACCACCACAGTCCACATCTGTTTCATCTTGATTTTGGTTTCCATCAGGGCAAGATGGCTCTAAAATTAAATATTCAAATATATCCTCTTATTTACTGTTAAAAAAAAAACAGTTTTCTTCTCTTCATTAGAATATTCCCAACTGATGTTCTATTCAATGCAAGACTTCCGAATACCTTGACATGTTTTATTTGTTTGATGGCAATTATCATTAGCACAATCGGAATTGTTTGAACAAATCTGTGTTAAGACACATCGAGCTCCACACATCGAACCACCACAGTCGATATCCGTTTCATCTTGATTTTTATTTCCATCACAGCACGAAGGTACTACAAAACATCAATATTTTCAAATAGTCACGTAGAAAATATATATTCACCTTGACATATTTTCAGCGATACATAACAATTTCCATTTGAGCAATCAGAATTATTCGAACAAGCTTGATTCAAATCACATCGCCGTGTACAGATTGAACCGCCACAGTCAATGCCAGTTTCATCTTGATTTTTATTTCCGTCGTCGCAAGATGCCACTAGAATTATAAACATCAGTTTATCCTCAACTAAAGCGAATGACGTTTCCCATATTGCCTCAAACGTATCTGAAATTTCTTTATGACTACCTTCTACAAAATATACCTTGGCAAATTTTATTCGTTGGATGGCAATTGTTATTGATACAGTCAGCGTTTTTATTACAATAGTAATCCAAATCACATTTGATCTTACATACTGAATCACCACAATCAATATCAGTTTCGTCTTGATTTTTATTGCCATCAGAACACGATGGTTCTAGAATTAGATACTCAAATACAGTCGACCATGAGCCGGAAGGCAAACGAGCTTTCGCCTTTCAAGGTAATATTTTTAAATCGAAAAATTTCCTCAAGCAACCCTTTCCAATACCTTGACATGTCTTTTGTGTTTGATGACAGTTATTGTTTACACAATCCGAATTCTTTGTACATTGTTGATTGATGCCGCACCGAGCTGCGCACACTGACCCACCACAGTCAGCATCACTTTCATCTTGATTCTTAATCCCATCAACACATGTTAGTTCTAAACAAAAATACAGTTTAGTACAGTGACCAGAATAACGAAATAGGTTTCACAAGACTTCTTACTTGAATTCGTATTTGTGCTAATAGCTGATACTGAACACAATGACAGTAGAAGCGAAATTGATGTACCATTTGATAGAGTCACCGGTAACGACAACGACGAAAATTTTGTTTGAATATGTGTCTTCACTTTCTCGATAAGAGTCGCTCGACATTTGGCAGTAGCACACGTTCTATCGCTGCTTAATGTAAACTGAATTATGAGAACGTCTCCTGTTGAATTCTGTTGGCTCGCACAGTCAGATATTCTTCAAATAAGAAAAGTACTTGGAACGAAGAAAAAGTCTTACAGACATCTTACGCTCGTCTTTTTCGTTTGGTATTTGTGAAAGAAGGGAGTTTAACCGCCAAAACATTGAGGGTGCCTACGTGCAATTCTTTGTTAAGCTGAAATGGAAATCAAAACATAGAAAGTTCATACTTTATGGAAGAAAAACAATGTACCTGAACATTCAATGCATGAATATCGCCTACTGTATAACCTGTTGTATTCGTGAGAGCGGTGGCATATCTCAATTCAAATAATTGTACATCTTGAAAAATATTTAGAAATCAATCGTTAATCAGAACAAAAAGCAATGGTGCATACGTGTAGGCACACGATCAAAGTTCGATTTATCAGAAAGGTATACAGGAATTAGCGAGAGTACAATTGTTCCTGCGAAAAGCCAAATGAATACTATCCCACAGACGAGAACCACTGCGGTGGGCCAAGAAAAAAGTCTCATTTAAACGCTAAACCCAACGAATTTTGTTTAAAATCGAATTATCTAAAATGATAAACAAATATATAGATCTTTTCTGTAAAGAAAGCTTCGACGGAGGATTCAGATAGTGTGACATCCACAAAGCGATAGACGCGTGATCTCCCTAGATAGCGTTCAACAATATCTAAACTTCAATCATGTCGATAAGCAAAAGATCGTGTAGGTGGAGTTCACCCACATAGCATCTCTTGGCTCTCATCATGTTGCCGTTTCTCCGGATCCAATCAACCACTGTCCATAGTTTGATGATAGCTAATAGTAAAGAATCTGATAATTGGCATGAAGATCACCCGGGTAAAACTCACCATGTCAGAAGCTCATAGGGTAACTTTGTGAGAGCAGAATACTTGATTCAATTGTATGAAAACTCACTCTGCAGATGTGATATTCGCTATCATCATGCTGATGGTAATGCATGTTCGACTTTGGATATGTGATGCAATCTTGTCGAGGATAGTTTGATGGTATTTTAGTGTAATACATGCTTTGAGCAAATCGGGAGAGAGCTGAACCGTAAAAATGTTCGCACTAGTGCTTCATCAGTTTTCATATGATGTGCCCTTCAGTGACACGATAAATACAAAGTGTGGCATAAATTGATATGCATTCTCTCGTTCTCTTTTTGTTTTGCTCAATGTGGAATTGAAACAAACTGACATGACTCTAACTTCGCTGACATCCAATTTCCTGTTCAGCTAAAAATAGAGGGAAACTTGTCATTAAAAGAAGCATTGACACCGACGGGTTGTTTGCATCAGTATTCCATGCGACAAGGTCAAATACATCAGATGATAATATGTCTGTGACCGCCGTGGTACATATTAATGTAAAGATGGCCGAACGTTCCAATACACGTCAAAGTATTCAGTTAAAAAACAATCATAATAACTGTATCCGTTTCACTGTTGAGTCCGAAAATAGGCGATTTATGAACCTATACAAATACATAAATTTATACATGATAGAGTGTTTGCTCGAAAGTTTAAAATTGCTATTCATATTTTTGGTACTTATAAATTCGATCTATTTATCTCTATGTTTTCAATTTATAAACGTGTAGTTCTCTGAAAAGAAAAGGTAACAGTTTTTGGTCGTATCAAGGCTTACTGTCAAAACTAGATTCATGTGTGCTTAGTAAAAAAGTTTCTTTCCTTAGCACTTTTTGACTTGTGTAGATCTGTCTGCTAGAAAATAAAGCATAGTTGAGATCGACTCGATTTCTGTTATAGATTGATGCTAGTATCGACTAACAAATCTTTTCTTCACAGACCTTCCATCTTCATTTACTTTCTGTTCAATTTCGGTAAAAAACCCATTTGACGACATTTCTACCGTATTACCTGCACAGCATTAAGTGTAAACCTCAGTCCACCGATGTTCGACGAATATTGGCTTTCTATCAACGTAAAACTGTATGCGTCGTAGATCATTTCGAGACTTCCATAACATTCTTCATAATTTTCAGGATAAAGCTCAATAGATATGCCATGGATTGATATATGACACATCGTATTTAGTAAGACTACTTGCTTTAGATAGTTTTGTCAGTCTTTTAGCCAGAAAGTCGCTGTGTGTATGAATTCAAGGTTGGCATACTATTTAGGATATGGAAGGACAGGACAGGGCAGGATAGGGTAGGACAGGACAGGACAGGGCAGGATAGGGTAGGACAGGACAGGACAGGGCAGGATAGGGTAGGACAGGACAGGACAGGGCAGGATAGGGCCAGGTAGGGTACAACATGGCAGGGCGGGACAGGGCAGGGTAGGGCAGGACAGGGCAGGGCAGGATAGGGCCAGGTAGGGTACGACATGGCAGGGCGGGACAGGGCAGGGCCAGGCAGAGCAGGACGGGACAGGGCAGGGCAGAGCAGGGCGGGACACGACAGCTGAGGCATGATTGGTCTGGTTCTGTCGACATCTGTGCCAGTAATACGAACATAAAGGGTGTTTTAACTTTATAAACTGGTCGGTAAACATCCACACGACATTATTGTGGAGAAACGGTAGAATGAAAAGCGTCTTTCTAAACAGTTCATGGAGTTAAAATGTCGATTGCTAACGTATTACTACTGTTATTCCGTAAGGCATTCATAAATCTATAACGTAGAAAATATCTGACTGAAGTTTGATGACTGAAATAAATAAATAAATGAAAATTTTTATACGATCGAGATAATCTTTTTGAATGGTCTAGTATTCTACACTGAATTTTCGCAGCCTAGTAATTCGATAGTCATATGTCTAGTTTTTAAGTACCATTGCGTCAACTTACTGTTAGCTCTTATTGTTTAGAGGAAATAGACTGAGCGACGCTCTGAGACAGATTAAAGATACGTGCTCGCGTTAAGAAAATATGGACATACAGAAGGAGATGACATTCGAAGAAAAGTATGCATATATTCACCTGATTTTGATGAAAGAATCAATATGATCATTGTGTGTTGTGTTAAGATTGTTGTCGTTTGAATATGATAATACCAACATTACAGGTATTTATATACTAGCGGGTATCTATTTTTAGTTGTTTTTTTTTCGCTTTTGCATTTCAACTCACATTGCCTTTTCTCGATTTTTCTCTATCTAGCGGGAGTCGTTTTCATTTACTTTTGCCTGACTACGGATGAGCAGTCAACGGTGTTGATCATGTGTTTTCGATTCGTATTAGCGAAAGTGCAGAGTACGAATAACAGGTTCCTCTATTGGTTTAGTGTAAACATACTTGCCGAGGTCGTGACATTCTAAAATATGCTAGCATAGATTCTCTATCATAATTTATATTAGCAATCGTGATGTTTTTTACATAAAGTTCCGATAAGTGGTAATGTTCAAGTTGAGTAGAATCCAATAATTTGTTGTGATTTGAATTTGAGAATCGTTTAGTCATGACAATCTATTGCTAGTCTCTCGATATACATGCTTATTATTTTAGTGTCTTTATTCTAACATAGGGAAGAATCAGCAGCCTGCGAATATTGCACCAAAACGATGAGCACGTGAAGGTCCACAAAACCTATACTACAAAAGTTTCGAAAATCTTATGTTTTTTTTGGTTATATGAGGATTTATAGTGGACGAGCTGTATACACTGATGAAGGTGTGCTTCCATTTATCTTTTCTTCTAAAAAACTGCGCCACACTGTTGCAAAATACAAGTTTGCTTGTTTATTTATCCATCGAAGAGAAAGAAAGATAATCCAAAATGTATCAAAGTACACCGACATAGGAGCAAATAGTATAGGTACAACGCATGTAAGTATGATAGTCGCAATCAGTACTTCATGACGACATCTGATGATCTCTTCGAACAAGATTAATGTCATGTATCGTTAACTAATTAATGATTTGTGTTTAGTTTCATGTATAGAAAAGCTGATGTGATAATTTTTTCAGTTCTCTTCAACGTGGTAATCGTTTACTCGAGCTTTCGTCATTCGAACGAATATCGCAAAGAGGTAGAATACAAAAACATACGGATGAGTCACGTTTGTAATAGAGGTAACTGAAGAATAGTGCATTTATTTACCGATACATGGCTGGATAAATGAAGATAAGAATGATGTTTTGTCTCTATGCAGCATAGTGATGCAATATTACTACGGCCATTTGATTGTTTACTAGTCCTCTACTATTAATCGTCGCATTTGTCATAGTTCATACAGGTAGCTCATAATCAACTATTTCGTTTAGTTTGAAATTATGATCGATGAAGCAGAAGATGCTACATGATTATTTTTTTAATAAAAAAAAAGAGGAACACCAACTCCATATATTCATGGTTGATAACAAAAATTGAGTTAGTGATGTGACTTTGTGTAGAAAAGGACAAAATCGATGTTTGTCTAGTTGAACTTTTCATCAACTTATTAGACACCTTCAGTACTATCTTCGCTGTCAACACTTGTATGACGGTTTAGTGACGTCATTCATACAATTTTTCGTTATGTTCCATAAGATTTGTCTCAAATTTCAGTTTTTGTTCTTATATTCATCCGTTTGATAATCGGCGAATTTTTACCTGCCGATCTTACCATCTGGTAACAGTAAATCACATCTGTTTCGTTTAATACGATTTAAAAAGGTTATATGTCATCTGTGTTCTCGCTCCAATTTCGGCCTTTTAGTCTTAATCCAAGACCTGGGACATCCTGAATCTCTTGTTCTCAAATATATCAACTGGTCCGCATCACGACCAGTACCTAGTTTTCAGCGAAGGTAAGTTGACCGATTTTGAACATGTATGCAAAAACTGGGGGCAGTGCTGGTGCAAGTCGGACGAGAAGAAACAAAAGCGCCGACAACCGTTCAGCACAGTAAAATGGACACATGGGTAGTGTAACGATAATGATATCGTTCATCTCCTTCTGTTCTTTATTCTCTCACCTCTATATCATACTATCTCCGGGTCATATCTCTCTTTCCTCTTCTCTATATAAGCGCGTGTCTTATTGTGAAAGAGATACATTCTGGTCATGTAGAGTAGTCAATAAACATCGATACCNAGCATAGTGATGCAATATTACTACGGCCATTTGATTGTTTACTAGTCCTCTACTATTAATCGTCGCATTTGTCATAGTTCATACAGGTAGCTCATAATCAACTATTTCGTTTAGTTTGAAATTATGATCGATGAAGCAGAAGATGCTACATGATTATTTTTTTAATAAAAAAAAGAGGAACACCAACTCCATATATTCATGGTTGATAACAAAAATTGAATTAGTGATGTGACTTTGTGTAGAAAAGGACAAAATCGATGTTTGTCTAGTTGAACTTTTCATAAACTTATTAGACACCTTCAGTACTATCTTCGCTGTCAACACTTGTATGACGGTTTAGTGACGTCATTCATACAATTTTTCGTTATGTTCCATAAGATTTGTCTAAAATTTCAGTTTTTGTTCTTATATTCACCCGTTTGATATTCGATGAACTTTCATAAGTCGCCGCCCTTAAATGTACACGTAAGATGCGATAGCGACACCCAAAAATCTAATTCTATTTTCTGTTGGTGTTGAACGCTACGATGAGTTCAGTAGAAATAGTTCAATACTTGAGGGTGTGAGGGTATATAGGTATAAGTGAAACTAAATCTATTCCTATTCCTATTCCTATCTATATAGGGATTGTACTGTGCTAGGAATTGGCCACATACATTATAAGTCGAATGAGGCAGCTACTCATTGACAAATACTGATCAACAAACCACTTCATCTCCATTTGTGGGAAACGATTGCATAGGAAATTCAAGTGATTTATCAATGTCTAATCAAACAACCGCAGCTGAACCGTCATCCTTGAATCTGACACAACAAATAAATCGTTATCAACAGCACATTTGGCAAATGTTGCTGATGTTGAATCATCTGAAGCTAAGAAAGAAACTATGGTTAGGATCCGACTTTGTCGAGTTCTCGACATTCAGTCATTCGTAAACGCGTAACTAAAACATATTTGTCCATTGCAACTAAGAAATTGAAAATTCATGATGATTCTACAAATTTTTTATCATCAAAATGTTCAATTGGCGAGTACATCAGATCCAGGATTAATGAAGTTGATCGTGCTATTATTGACCCTGAAATCTTACCTAGCATAATAGTCGATAAAGAAAAAACAGAAGAAAATCAAAGTGGCAAGTGAACTCGAAATTATCAACCAATGGTGGTCGCCGGAGTGTGTTGTGTCTTTATCAAGTGCACCTGAAAACTTGATTAATTTAAAAATAGATGAACTCAAAAAATATCTCTTATAGCGGCCTCGCGATTATATGTGTGCGATGATGTTCAGGGTAATACTTGCTCATGTAAAAGCGGTCATAAAACAAAACAATGCCCTTGTAAAAAGAAGAATATATCATGTTCTACAAAATGCCATAAGAACGAAGCTAAATGTATCAACTTAGAAGGTAAAGTTTGAAATTTTCTCAATCTGTTTTCAATTAATATTGTTTATTATTTAACCTATGTTGGTTTTCCGAAATAAAATTTCGTGCATCATGACTCCATATTCATTGTATCATATCTAATGTCTTATTTAAGATTGGCTTAGGCAAATCTTAGATTAGGCGTAACTTATTTCAAACATTCAGCCCGACATCGGCCTGATTTATGGTATACTTCGAATGTGGAATTCCGATTTCGACTAGACGAATGTGAGATTCCAGATTTATCTGAATCTTATATTGGACGCTAACATATACATGATTTTATAAGTACCGATAAATTTTTACAATACTATAAAATCTACTTTCGTTGTGGTTGGAAAAAGAACTTCCTACCGTGAAAATGATTGTATTTCGTAGTTCTGATTCCTTGAATGTGCCTGTTGAGAAACATGGTTTCTGCATGGTATACGAAACAAACGAATATGAATTAGTCACGGTCTTTTCTTCTAGCATATCTATCCGTTTGACCTCTATTCTGAGTATTCAAAATCATGTAAACACTAATCTCAAGCAGTTGATATTTTTCATGTATGAAAAATCATTGACAAAAACTAAGCAAAGTCATTTTTGAAAAATATATCAATGAAATATGTTTTAGGATCAGTCCTTTAACTCCAAATCGATGACAATAGGTTCGTGTACAGTTTCATAATTCAGATTACAAATCGATGCATTAACAAATGTCGTCAAGTCACGATTTACACGTCCGCATGCTTCACGAACATGACCAAATACATGTAAACGTGGTTTGATTGAAGTAACACGAGCAAGCAGTTGAGCACAGCCAACATGTATGTTTAGGTTATTTTTATCAAGTATGTTGGTCGGCGGGCAGTTAGTGAGAAGAACGTTCACGTCATCCGGGATTCGAGACCAGGCATCTCGAATTTCGATACTGTTGATTGGTAAATTAAAAGCTGAATGGCCATCTGCTGGTTGATACGGACTAAATAAGAAATCTATTTCCCATTATGTTGATAAGCAATTTTTACCTGCCATAAAATTTCAGACCAGTAACATTATCAATGAACTGCTTTTCTTCCAAATAAACAATTCCATAATTGATTGCTAATGAGGGATCACATAGAAGTTGTTTGAGTTGTGTAGCATTTTGTTTGCGATTGCTATGCCAACGTTTCCAATTGTTCTCATAGAACATTTCGTCTAGAGTGATATCGTGATTGCCCGCAATGAATATTTTCAGTCGAAATTGTGATAGAGACTTGAAAACCGCAACGAACTGTTCGATTTCATTTTGTTCGCCTGACATCGAAAAGTTGCCTGTATGCAATAGGATATCGCCAGCAGGAAGTGTAAATCCATATCGAGAGTATGTATCACTCAGACATACGATACGTACCGTTCGATTTCTTTCATTAATAATAACCCCTTGTTAAGATGACACGATTTTAGTGCATAATGTGAGTGTTGGTCTGTTGTAGGCAATGCCCTCTACTTACGTGGTGTACTGGTCAAAGATTTGCCTTGCTGATCTTTTGAGAGTATTGCCGCATGCAATATTTCCACTTGTTTCATTTTGTCTTCGAACTCTTCTTTTGTAGCAAACTAAACAGAGATGGAAGATAAATAAAAATTCGATTGGTTTTTACCTCATTCATTTCAATCCAGCTTAAAGTATCTTCAACAAAGTCAATTCGACCTATCAGATTTTCACCAACCAGCGTTGCATTGATATTGTAACAAAATAACTCAAGTGAATTCTTCGCTTCAATGCGACCTCGTTGTAGTTTATCTTCTGTTCTATAATTTTCAGCGTCAGTAATCATTCTTTCTATATCACTGCTTGACAGTCGATGTTTATCATTTGTAATCGTCATTCTATGTTCACGTCCAGTGGATTTATCAATAGCAGAGACATTCAAGACACCGTTAGCATTAATATCAAACGTCACCTCAATTTGTGGCACACCGCGGGGTGCTGGTGGAATACCAGTCAGACTAAACTGTCCCAGTAAGCGGTTGTCTCTTGTCATGGATCGTTCTCCTTCGTAAACACAAACATTGAAAACAGATTGATTATCAGCATAAGTTGTAAATGTTTGAGTTTGCTTTGTAGGAATAGTTGTGTTACGCTTGACTATGGTTGTCATTACACCACCTGCTGTTTCAAAGCCCTTTGAAAAATGTTGAAGAGAAGAAACTATAACACTCATTTTATGACTTACCAAGGAGAAAGGTATTACATCAAGTAAAACTACGTCTTTGATCTTCGCTGATCGATAATCTGTTAAAATAGCCGCCAGAATGGCAGCACCATAGGCGGTGGACGGACAATTCGTCGCGGACAATTCGTCGACGGGCAATTCGTCGCCTGGACAATTCGTCGCCATCATAATTTGTCGCACAAGTACTCACTCGTGTAATTAATTAGTTGTAACAAGATTAACATAATGTACAGATAGGGAGAGAGCGAGAGAGGTAAGCATGGCATAAGGATCAATACGTTTGTAAAAGAGAAAAATGTAATTAGTAAAAAAATCTACGATATGCAATGAAACAGATTGAACAAAAAAACGACTAAATATTTCATACTTCTCACTAAAATAGTATCAGATACTAGCGTCTTCTTAA